AGGGGAATGGGGATGGTCGTGCCTTCTCTTGTGTATGTGTATGTGTATGTGTATGTTTATGTGTATATGTATGTGTATTGGGGGATAGGGATGTCTTCTGGTTACAATGTTTTATGGAGTGTTTTCTTGAGTGGATCTTCTGCTGCCGCTTCAGATGCTGCCACTTCTGTTTGCTGCCGCTGCTGCAAGCGGCTGCCGCTTTGTTGACTATAAATAACAATGGAATCATGACTCCAAATTAAACGTCGTGCAACGTCGGAAAACACACAGCAGAAAGCCAGAGACTGCTGGCAGGGGAAGCTGTTTGCTCTCTGCAAAAGTCAAAGAAACACACAAGAAACGCAAATATATTACAAACATACATACATATACGTACATAGGTATCTGCTTTCCCTGTATTTTTCCTCGCACACGTACGTAAGATATGAGTGACTGCCACAGGGCCACAGTCGAGGAAGTGCCCCATGGGGCACTGGGGCGTGGGGGAGGAACTTTGTTTGATTTGCGGCACATTTTGAGTAATATTAACAAATTGTTTGAGCCAAGAACCAAGTTCGTTGCAGATACAGCGGGAGACAACAAGAATACTTTCCCACTGCAGACACGACCTTTCCATACCCATTCTTTCGATGTCCATAAAAGATTTCGAATAAAACATCCCATGTCCCAGAACGCTTGTTTCTTATATTTAAGATCCTTTTCAAACCGAGTTCCGAGAACTCTCTGGCGTCTAGTTCTGGCGACATTTTAGAGACGTTCTGAAGCTATCCTTCGATTGGAGTTGATCTGAGGGTCGATCCCAAGACGAAGACAGTATTTCATCACCTGAGTAAAACAAAGAGAGAGATCTTTCAGGAGTCTGTGCAACAACAGAGAGCTCTTGTTGTATCCCAAGTAGTGGACCATGACTCCCCTGGCCAGGGGACGGTAGTTGCCTTCGTTATAAACAGATTAATCATCCATCGGGGATGATGGGTGGAACTGGTTGGTTGAGAGGTCCACATGGAAAACCCTTTCAGATGCCAGCAACACCAAACAATTGAGTCATCCACACAGTGGCACCCATCCCCATCCCCATCCCCATCCCGGAGAGAGCTCTCTCCCCCTCTCTTTTTATTGTACATACAGACATACAATATGAAAGCCAGAGACCCCATAATGGCTCTGATGTCGTTAGTCATCTGCTAACCCTCCTCCCTTAGCAACCCCTTCTTCCATGGCAACCCCCTCTGGCACCCCTCTGGCACCCCTAGGACCCCACTTAATTGCGTCTGCTCATTTAGTAATAAAAACGAGACCCACGACAGACAAGGGGCCAGTGGAGCAGGGGCGTCCACCGTATATGTATATAATCCGGAGTGCATTGAAAAGTTTCGGAATTGAGAGAGAGAGAGAAAGAGCAGAAAAACTACAAAAAAGAGGGGAGCTATTCTCGCTCTCGTCCTCTCCCTCGCTGTCGGTGGAAATTCAATTCAAATCGTATTCAAGTGTTCGCTAACTCATTCATTCATCTTTTTATCGTTTGGAATTTGTTCTTTTATTGAGATTCTTTTAGCCATACCCCATACCCCACACCCCACACCCCACCATTCCATCCATTTCCATCCACGGTCTGCGTCTGCGTCTGCGTCTTCTAGTTCGTCTTGGAGCCCATAATCCGATTGTGCGTTGGGGCAAATTATGGCCGGGGATTCGTTATTCGGAGATGGGACTTACGGAATATGTGAGATTTATGTTAAGTGGCAGACGTCGCATTATCCTGGTGCCGCATGACTCGGCGGCGGGGGAGGGGGAACGCTGGATGCTGGGGTGCCTCTGTGGTGGCACGGTGCGGAGACCCCAGCCCCCAGCCAGCCATAAAAATGTCATTCTGCAATAAAATCGAGCTTCTCTTTGTGTGGCAGGACGTGAAAATGGCCAGCGACAGCCAGGACTTGGACCAAATCTACGGCCGAAATATGACGATATATTTGAAAACGCTAGTTAGATAGATAAACCGATAATGGGTAGATAGATAAACTGATAGTTTAATAGCTGTACAAAACAAAGGAATTCTTTGCTCAAATTCAGAGAGGAATGTGGAATGGAACGTTTCCCATTCGCTTGAAATACACCTCAAAAGATCTGCTCCTCGAGGCGAAAGCTTGATCGAATCTCAGACAATTTTTATGAATACCAAAATAAATGATTACAAATTGTTGTAAACGTTTCCTTAAATGTATCTGGAGCCCTCATATCTGCCACTTTCCATCGGCAAGTAACATCCACGCCCTGCGGTGTTGGTGCTATCCAGAACTCAACTCAAAGCCAAATAGCCGGTTGGGGCTGTGTGTTCCTATTGGGCTCTAATATGTGCCCTTGCATTACCTCCTTGCATGCTTTGTCGGCAAGAGTATTCAGGTTTTGTTGTCCTTCTTCACACGAAGTGGCATCTGTGTGAGGGGTAGAAGTAGCGCTAAAAGTAGAGGCAATTTCATGGGCAATACCGACAGCCGACAGACCCAAATCCTTAGCAGCTGTTTGCCAAATGTTTTCTATATGAATACACTATTACCTGCCACTCGAGAGGGGGCATGGCATATACATATATCCTGTAGCTTAATCAATTGCACATCTCTGGGGTGGATGGAGGAGGTGTCTCCGAAAGCAATCACAGATCACGGAATCCAATAAGGGAATTTGTTGGGGATTTGGCTGCCTCCTACGGGCTCGGATGGATACGGGAGCAGCTGGGGGACGAAACACGGGACAAGGAAGCCGAATCCTACCCCGGATCTACATAGCTCGTTGTCTGGGAAACACATTTAGATAAAGTCACACCTTAGTGTCGTCTCCCTGCCTTGATGTCCTCTGGAATCCCACCCCGTCTTCTGCTCCTCCTTCTCCTTTCAATGGTGTGTCCTGTCTAGCGACTCCGATTGGTTCTTTGTTTGTTCTCTTGGCCAAGAAGTTTCTCTCACGCCTAAATGCCTTGTGTGACTCGTCCGTGTGAATCATGTTATGGCTGGAGATGCACAGGCTGCAGGCGGTGCAGCGCGGACAGAAGCTGAACCTTGCACTGCTGCCACACTCTGCCGTTGGGGCTACTGAAGCAGCCATTGGCCCTGCCACTCCCTATTCCTTTGGCAGAAGTTTTGGCCAAAGCGGTTTTGGGCGCACTCAGATTTGATGGCTCAACTTTACCAAAACAGAAAGATTACGCCCCTCTCCTCGATCGTCTCTCCTCCGCTGTTCCGCCTTACAATCAGTGGATTTCTCCCCTTACTCTTCACCTTCTCCACTTTAGTTTTCTTCGATTTAGGCTGCCTCCAACTTTTGGTGTTTCATTGGCAGGAGTGGACACCTCCAACGAAACCCTGAATATAGATTGATTTCTCCACCCCCCAAAAGAGGAGGACTATCCATAACTCATTTCCCTGTCTGTAGTCCGCGTATCTCTGTATCTCTGGGGCTACGGGTGGCATGGGGCACATCCTCGTGTCAGGACAGGCATAAACAAGGCATTTTATATGCGTGGCAGCAGCAGGAGCAGTAGTATCAGTAGCATGCCCGGAGGTTGTTATTTTTGGCGGTTTATTTATTTTTAGCCGCATGCCACAAGCGGTGGCAAGGACCCCACGACGGCGCACATTAAGCAGTTGACCCATTTCGTGGCCAGACACCCGAGGCAGATACCCCAACTAATAATGCGATAGGATAGGTGCCGACAGGTCCTGGAGGGACACCTCCTCCTCCGCCTCCGCCTCCTCATGGGTCTTCTTTGTACACCACTTGTGCACCACATCCAGCGGCTCGTTCTCGTTCTCTGTCTCTGTTTCTCTTTTGTTTCCTCTCATTTCTACTGATTCAGCCCCCCAATCCTGCTGGTGTTCTCCTTTCTTAGACTCTGGCTTTATTTGAAAGAAGGAAAGGCCTTCCTTCCGCTTTGATTCTTTGACCTTCTCCGCCTGATGCCTCTCCTTCCATATTGATGCCTTCTCCAGCTCCAGCTCCTACTTTTGTACCCCATTTCGGGCCCCATTCTGCTACATGTCCTTCTCCTTGTGGTGGCTTCCGGCTTTGTTTAGTTGTCAGTTTGGTTTCCTTTCGTGCCAAATTAAGTTAGTTCTTTCCTGTCGCCTCCGTACACTGACCTCCCCCGCTTCCACCCACCCCCTTTCGATTTTATTGTGGCAGTTGTAAACTGTTGTGTAACCATAAAAACAGTCGTATCGGGTGCAGGGGAATCCCAGGAACTTCAACGGGAATGGAAATGGAAATGGCGTGTCCCGGTCTCATGCCGCGACTACGACTACGAGTGTTAAACGGTCGCCATTTGGTCTGCATCCAATGGATTCCTTCGTTAATTACACAAGTTTTCTGGCTACACACTTGAGAGCTGCAGTGCTCCTTCTTCCCAGAAAGCAGGAGAAACAAAACCCCTCTGCGATTGAACCCTGGATAACCCTTCTGCTGCTCGTTCTCCACCCTCCGTTCCTCCCCCCATCTAATCCCACGACGGGGGTCATGTGTAACCATTAGACACTGCCATTGGACCCCGGGCGGCAGGGAGCCAGGGAGCCAGGGTCTGCCGAGAGCCACTCGTCTTACCAGCCAAAGGAGCAGCCAAGCGACTTTGTCGTGGCTTCTGTGTGAATTTAATTTAATTTTGAAAAGTTTTCGCCTGCAAAACTTTTCCACAGAAAGTGGAGATTGCACTGCACTGGAAAAAATCCAGGGAAACAAGAGTTTCTTCGCAACTTTTCTGTCGAGGCCTGGTGTATTGGAACGGCCGACGTTTTTGTCGAGGCACAAGTGCTGCAGGGATCCCGAAATCTTTTACTTTTCAAGCGAGATGTGAGAGAAAATGTATCTGAAGTGAAGAAAATAGCAGAAATAGCAGATGTATCTATGGGAAAATCCACATCAGAAGATTCCAATTCAGAGATTAGATCTTTCACAGGAACTGTGCGCCACCTATTTCTCTCACACACTCACCCTCTTCCCCTCTCTGTTTACAGGTGCGTGCCATGGAGCAGCGGTTGAGTGAGTGGCCCAAGCCTCCAGCACAGCCACATCCACCACAGCAGCAGCAGCAGCAATCCCCCAACCACCAGCAGCAGCAGACACCTTCCTGCGCGACAACAGCTGGAGGAGCAGCAGCAGCAGCAGCTGCAGCAGCCGCAGCAGCAGGAGCAGGAGTCCCAGGAGCACCGCTCGAAGCTGAGAGGACCATCACCTCGTTGGAGATCCAGGTGGAGGAGCAGCGACAGTTGCGACTGCACGACGCCCGCCAGATCGAGGCGAAGGCGGCCAAGATCAAAGAGTGGGTGAACAATAAGCTGCGGGATCTCGAGGAGCAGAACCAGGTGCTGCGCGAGCAGAACGTCAAGTGCAACCAGCAGCTGGAGCTTCTGAAGAACCACATCGCGAACCAGTCGCAGCGGCACAGCATCGTCGGACCCGTGCGGAATAGCCTGAGCTTGGACGTGCAGGACTTTGCCGGCGGATCGGCGGAGACGCGCAGGCGCAGCGAGAGCCTCGATCCCTCGCAGGAGATCATCAGTCGGCCGCTGACCAGCTCCTATCCCCACCACCAGCATCGGCGCAATCTCTCGATGGAGCCGCAGGAGCTCGAGCGCAATCTGGTGGCGGCCGTCGACGGCCTCACCCTGGCACCCCTCTCCAGCATCTCCAGCAAGGCGCCCTCGACAGGAATTGGATCAGGCGCTGCTTCGGCGGGAGGGGGATCGCTGCCCCGTCCGGATAGCTCCGACACGGACACGGCCCACGACTACGCGGAGATCTACACGCCCTCGTGCGAGAAGCTGCCCGCCTGGATGAAGAACAATCCCGCGCTGATGGCCAGCGGCGGTAACAGCAGCACCACCACCACCACCAGTGACCTGGGCGTCCCCCGGCCACCGACACCGCCACTACACCGCTTCCCAAGCTGGGAGGCCAAGATCTACCAGGTGGCCAACGATGGGTTGGCCGGCACAGGTCCTGGCACAGGCACCAGCACAGCCGAGAGCACCGTCAGTCACGAGCCAGATGCAGCCGCCAACAATACCCTGTCGAATGGAAGGTCCCGACATGGGACACACGGTCATGGCCATGTGGGACACGGACACGGGCACAGACATGGCACGGCCACGAGCACGGGCACGGTAACTGGCGACGGCAATGGAACAGTGGGAGGCAGCGGCACACCGGGCACTCCGCTGCCGCCAACGCGGCAGCAACAAACCGCCAGCGGCGGCTTCTGTGATATTTCGGTGCCCGTGTACGCAACGGTCAAGGGGCGGGCTTCCCAGATCCGCTCGATGCCTTTCACTGGGGACTCGAGCGACGACTCCAGCGATGGGGAGGACCATGCCGTGATGCTCACCCACAATTCGCACAACTCGAGCAGCACGGACAACACGGAGACCTCCACCTCCGGCAGCGCCTCGAGCCCCTCCAAGAGCCTGAAGACCTCTTCGAGCCTCAGTCCCGCGAAGCGCAGTGGCTCCGAAAGCCCCAAGAACGCCAAGGCGCGTGGTATGTACCTAACATGTTTGCTGCCCTGCCCCACAGTAGACCCTGCACCACCAGTCTGCATCTGCCTTAAGCCACTCTCTTGTTGGTAGCCTGGTAGCCCCGTAGCCACCCCCCGCGTAGAGCGTAGGTATCGTCACACCAGAGACAAATACACACAGGGAAAACCCAGAATCTAACGCACACACAGCTCCCCCAATCCCCATACGATCCTTATCCCGATCCCCGTTCACCTGCCACTTCCTGCAACCATTCCCCAGGATTCTACAGTAATGCCGCCCTTGGAACCTCGCCTTCATTTGCTTTCGTAACTTCAGTATCACTTCCAATGCCTTTTCTTTCGATATCATTCAATATGCTTAATTTCACTGTTTCATTTCCGCAGTCCCGATTCATTTAGCTTTCTGTTCCGTTTCCATTTCGGTTCGAGATCATATTTCGTGTAGCCCTTCTAGTCCTATTTTCAATTTCCGTTTTACTTTCAATACTGTTTTGCAATCATCCTCACTGCCATTTCCCACTAAATTTATCTATTTGTGGGTCTGTTCCCGTTCTAGTTCTCACATTCCTTCTTTTCCTGGAGCTCAATTTATTTCCTTTTCAAGATCAAAGATATAGTTCCACTTCCAACTCCACATCCTGTTCCGATTTCCACACCGTATCTACTTCTAGTTCCTGCCCATCACATCCCCCGCCCTCTAGAACCTAGATAAAATATAAAACTAATTTATAAAAAACTAACAATTTGTGACAACTTTTGTCCATCAAAAACCATCTAAACCACTCAACCGATCCACCGATCCGCCTTGCAATCATGTAACCGACATTAACCCGCTCCATCCGCCTCACACACCGCACCACCGCACAGTCCACCTCCACCAGCCACGCACATCCACATCCACACAGCCACAGCATCTCCACCACCAACCACTGCACCACCAAAATCACCAGCACCATCACCACACATTGCCCCACCAGGGGCTGACGCTGACACTGTCGCCGACATGCCTGCCCCAAGGCGGTTCAGGGCAGAGCACGCTGACACGTGCACACCAGACAGCAACGGCAACGACAACGGCTACGCTGCGGCTACCAGTGCCACCGATCGTTGCACCCCGTTGCATCGCCTCTGCATCCAGTCCCCAACACATGCGTGGCACAGTAATTTCAGATCTTTCCTTTGAATCAGGCCTCTCGGACGACTACGCCCTGCCCCCGGACGCCGTGTCGGAGTCCACCTGCATGGATGCCTCGATGCCGTCGCTACTGATGCGCGCCTCCTATGTGGATTCGCCCAGCAAGAAGATCGAGTCCCTAGAAAAGGTAAGCACCCAGTGAATCCCCAGAGAAGCCGCAGGTCCAGCTCCAGCTATAATCTCTACTCTTTCTTTTAGATGGGTCACCTGGCCAAGCTGGGTGGCAAGCTTAAGACGTGGCGCAAGCGGTGGTTCGTCCTGAAGAACGGGTCCCTGAACTACTGGAAGAGCCAGCACGATGTGCAGCGGAAGCCGCAGGGGCAGATCCAACTGGACGAGGCATGTCGCATAAATCGGGCGGAGGGAGCCTCCACCTTCGAGATAGACACCGGGAAGAAGGTCTACTACCTGACGGCCGACTCCCATGCCACCATGGACGACTGGATCCGGGTGCTACAGAATGTGCAGCGACGGAACGCGACCAAGCTGCTACTCAGCCGCGACGACCAGAAGCCCACGGTCCAGGGCTGGGTGACGAAGGTGAAGAACGGCCATGCCAAGAAGTGCTGGTGCGTGCTGCTCGGCAAGATGTTCCTCTACTTCAAGGCTCCAGCGGAGACGGTGAGCGGAGAGTCGTCTAACAGATTCACAGGTTTCCTGAGGAAATACTCATGAAAGACCATACTTTCGTTCCCATTCAGAATCCCCTGGGACAGATCAACATGCGCGATGCACGCGTCGAGGAGGTAGAACACGTCTCGGACTCGGACTCAGAGGAGCGCGAGGATGCCGCCCAGGATCAGGCACGACTCACCGTCGCCATCTATCCGGCCCACCAGGGACCCACCTACCTGATCCTGTCCGGAAAGCCTGAGCGCGACAATTGGCTCTACCACCTGACGGTGGTCTCTGGCGGAGGTCCAAGCGCTGGCACACAGTACGAGCAGCTCGTGCAAAAGCTCATGGAGACGGACGGAGATCCAAGTGAGAAACCACCTCCGAATCTCGGCAGCAAATGGAAGCTTATTCCCCATTGATTACACTTTACAGATTGCGTTCTGTGGCGCCATCCCATACTGCTGCACACCAAAGACACCATCACGGCACCGCTCACGTCCATGCACACGGAAACCATGCAGCCAGAGGCCATCAAACTGTTCAAGGTAACACAGAGGGGGAGCTAGAGGAAGCCCAAACTGATCCTCGTTCCATTCTATCCATTCGATCCATTCCGCAGAGCATTCAGCTGTTTATGTCGGTGGCTGTGAATCAGCCGGGCATCGATTACCATGTGGTGCTGGCACAGAATGCACTGCAGCACTCCCTGGACATGCCCGAGCTGCAGACGGAGATGATCTGCATATTGATCAAGCAGACCTCCCGGCACATGGGCCAGAAGCTCAGTGTCGGCGTCCAGGTAAACAAGAAGCTGGGCAAGCAAACGCGCGTAAGTTTTTCAGTTGCAGAGCTTTTTACATCCCCTGCATCCCAGCATCCATGCCCCATATGTTCCACCCGAAACCCAACCTACCACCACCAAAAAGAATGTTTAGTTGAATGAACCCACCCAAAAATAGTTGGTTTTTGATTTGATGTAGTGTGTTCTTCCCCCAAATGAAATCCCCTACTAACTTACGAAAAAACTTGCCCCCAAAAAGAAAAGAAAAGAACACCGTCCCGACTGGTGACTCGTGAGGTACCTTGCCATGCCATGCCAAGCCACATCATGCTACTATTGTTTGCTCCGCTTATCGATGAAACAACAAAGAGAGAGCTATTCTATACCCAAATAACACGTACTCACTAATAACTAACCAACATACAACTACTCCATTTTTAGTATCGGTAGATAGTGCATGTTTGATCGTAACTAATTTGTAGATCGTTTTCATCTGTTCTCAGTTTCATGAGTTCTTTCGTAGCAGACAGACAATGAATTTCCCCTAAAACTGTCATACATGCATATCTGTACATATATCATATATGTATGTATGTATATATGTATATATATATATATATCTGTTATACCAATCTGTATAAAGTATTTGCTGTAAATTGTACAAAAAAAGAGAAAACTAGAAGCATAGAACCATCACGGCACCCACAACAACAATCACTACAATGAATCCACACTCAAACCATCAGAACACTCGAAAAAACAGAACATCAGCCAGCAGTACGCATACTTTTAAAGCTCAGTGTGTACGTTTTCTATTACTAGAGTTTTTCCATCTTTGTTTTTCGCTTTGAATGTCTGTCTCTCACTCGCTCTCGCTCTTGCTCTCTATCTCTCGCTGTCTCTCTATTTTTGCCTGGTTCGTTCGTTATGTTTGTTTGGAGCTTAACGTTACACAACACTGAACAACAAAACACATCCAACACTGATGAACACTGATTACATTGATGATTGAGTAACATGAAAAAACAAAAAACTGAAAAAAAACAACTGATGATTGATGATGGCTTCTCTTCCATTCCTTATTTTCTTTGAATTTCGATTTGATTGATTGATTGATGTGTTCTCTTGTGTGACCAACCAAACCAACCAAATTGTTGAACCACGTTTCCAAAAACACCGCGTACCCACCGACCGATGACTCTTTGACGAACACTTATTACAGCAACTACTGTTGTGCGCCACCCAAAGCCTGTTCACCTGTGATACCCAACAGGCGGGCAATGCCCATGCCAACGGCAGTTCGCCCACATCTATTCAGGTATGACGGGGAAATCTTTCGTCTTTCTTTTTTTCTTCTTATTGTTTGTACTCTCTTTTGCGTACACGTACACGTACACGTACAGGTACAGTTGTGTTCGATTCCAGTAGTTCGATAAAAGTAGATTACAAACACTCCTAAAACCCCACAAAAGACTAACCATAACCACCACCATACCACTAACCGGAATCTAGTTAGTATCTCTCTGAGATTGTATACTAATTCATCTCTTCGGTCGACCAGGCACCTATTGCTGCACCCATCATCGACTGCAAGTCGAATCCGCCGGCGTACAGCTTCGTTCAGGGCTGGCAGCTCCTCGCTCTGGCCGTCTCCCTGTTTGTCCCGAAGTCGAGTCGCCTACTGTGGTACTTGAAGCTGCATCTTTCACGGAATGCGGACACCAAGACCGAGACGGGCAAGTATGCGGCCTACTGTGAGCGGGCCCTGGAGCGCACTCTAAAGAACGGCGGCCGCGAAACGAAGCCATCGCGCATGGAGGTACTCTCCATTCTCCTGAAGAACCCATATCACCACTCCCTGCCCCATGCGATACCCGTGCACATGATGAACGCCACATACCAGGTATGAGATGGTAATCACAGCGTGTAGACCTCGTCTAAATAACTGCTTATATTCCCTACCTGAAGGTGGTCTCCTTTGACGGCTCGACGACCATCGAGGAGTTCCAGGCGACGCTCGCCCACGAACTAGGAACCCGAGATGCGAGCAATGGCTTCTGTCTGTTCAGCGATGATCCCATCGAGAAGGACCTGGAGCACTTTTTGGAACCGCTAGCCAAGCTGTGCGACGTGATCAGCAAGTGGGAGACAGCGCTGCGGGAGAAGGGGTCTGGGAAGTTCGAGAACTCGCGCGTCATCCAGCTGACCTACAAGAACCGGCTCTACTGGAAGCACACAATAAAGTGCGAGACGGACAAGGAGCGGCTGCTGCAGTGCTACCAAACGAATGCCCAGATCGTCCAGGGTCGCTTTCCCCTGTCCCGCGAGCTGGCCCTGGAGCTGGCCTCGCTCATGTCGCAAATCGACATGGGCGACTACTCGCTGGAAAAGTCGCGCGACGTGGGCGTCGGCCTCAAGGGTCTTGACAAGTTCTATCCGTACCGATACCGAGACGCCCTCGGGGCCGAGCAGCTGAAGGAGGTTCAAGAGCTGCTCATCTCCAAGTGGATGCTCCTTAAGGGCCGCTCCACACTCGACTGCGTCCGCATCTACCTGACCTGCTGCCGCAAGTGGCCCTACTTCGGGGCCTGCCTTTTCCAGGCCAAGCCACGTCAGAGCGAGACCTCGCACGTAGCCTGGCTGGCCGTCGCCGAGGATGCGCTGAACGTGTTAGAGCTGTCCACGATGGCGCCGGTGGCGCGCTATCCTTACAGTTCGGTGATGACATTCGGCGGATGCCAGGACGACTTCATGCTAGTCGTCTCCCACGACGATGGCACACTGGCCGGCGGCTGCGAACAGAAGCTTCTCTTCGCGATGAGCAAGCCCAAGATCTTGGAGATCACCCTGCTCATAGCCGACTACATGAACGCCCTTGGTCACACGGTTCCCGGCACGCCCCAGATGAATTCCCTGACCCGCAACGGATCGCATCGCTCGCTGCGCGCCTCCAATCGTCCTGCTCCCGGTGCCGGATCCACTGTGGCCGCTTCAGGACTCACCAGCATTGGCATTGGCACAGGCGGACCGGGCAGCGGCACTGGCTTCTCCACCAACGCCACCACCACGGCCCACAACACGCTCAACTCCCATGCCACGCACACGCTCAACTCCACGCACTCGCACACACTGAGCAGCTCGCATCACGCCACAACCGGAGGAGGCGGCGGTAGTCATCCGGGAACACTCAGCTCGGGCCATCATCACCATCATCATCAGCAGCAGCATCACCACCACCAGCCGGATATACTGAAGAGCACGCCCGACCATCAGAGGATCAAGTAGAGGAAGGATCCTCCCTTCACTTCATTCTATACCGTATTGTACATAGGCGCCGCATACGCATCCACAACAGGACACATATACGACTAATATACATATGCTACAGATACACGCCCACATAAAGGGATACACACATATATTTACGTAGAATAAGAAGAGCGGGGGATCCCTCGATCCACAGGCACTACTCAACACTGTTCTTTCCTAAACAACTAGCAACGGTACACGTACTCTAACCTAATCGTATAATTCGATTAATTATAGTCTCTTTTTTTGTATAGTCCTAAGAGCGTACCCCAAAAAAATATTTAAGAGGTATCTGAAACAGAACATATTTTGAATCTCTTTTCGTTAGTTTTTCTTTGTTTGTTTCGTGGTTGTAGTTCCCTCAGATACAGATACAGATAAAGATAGAGATACATATATACGTATATGTAAAGATAGAGATACTAGTATGTGGTATATTCGAGTGTTCTTGCTCTTTGATGTAATGCTTTGTAATACGAGTCTCAATTGTCCCTCCATGCGCTATAACTGCCTTTTGAATTTATAGATGAGAAGAATAGAAGACAGGAGCAAGCCAAACAAAAACAAAAACAACAACAAAAAAAACAGCATATAGCAAACACTAGTGTTAGAGACCAAACCAAACCAAAACAAAAAGATAAATATTTTGTAAAGAGTTTTTCGAGCCAGAAACAGAAGTAGAAGAACATCTCCATCAACTACACTCGTATTAGTACTATGGTTTTCGCTTCGGGCGAAATGGCGCATTCAGGCAGCATTCAGCACTTTTTTAGATCCCTCCCACCCCTAGCACCATCATGCTGCATTTGTTTTTAAAACGTTTTAGCCCTTATTCGGTGTCCCAGAGCTTCTCTAAAGCAAAGGCTTAGGGCTTTCCATTGATATACAGAGCGTAAATTACATAGAAGCGATAGATGAGATTGGGCACTCATACAGAGACCTACTAGAGAATAGAATAGCATCGCTGATCCTTGGTTATCTGTCGGCTTTCGTTAAACTCACTCACACACGCATATATAAAAAATATACAATATATATATATATAGGGAGAGTATACATGTACTCAGAATCGATATTTAACAAAATTATACACAAGCAAAAACTAATTATACAGAAGATATAACAAAAGAATTGTATGCAAATGGCAAAAGCGCATTTTTTCCTAATTGTAAAGATTTGATATTACACATTTATACGATGTAAAAGAAGCCCAACCCCAAGACCCGAACCGAAGATACACCATCACATTGGGAAGAAGAATCAAAGAATCGAACAAGGATATAGTATATATGTACGTATAACTATATAGGCAAATGTATCACACACATCACTCGAACGAAACGAATTATATATATATATAAAGGGAAATTAATAATTAAAACTAAACCAAAGATCTGCATTAGTATTTCTACTACGGGGGCAAAGGGATAGGGGATGATGGGGGGAATCAAATGGTAATCAAATGGCGGTATGCTTATTTAAACAATGTAAATTGATTTATTTTCCTTAATTTAGTAACTATATAAATTGCCTAAAACTTGTATTATTTCCCGTTCTGTGCTGTCTTTTTTTCTTATTGCTTAGCTCCTAATCGCAGTCGATTGGGTTTCCTAGGCACTATCTTCATAGCTATTCCACATTTATGTACGTACAATCTACAAATTCACACACACACACACAGAGAGACACATTAAGTATTATAATTTACAGACAGGTATCCCCGCCGGCCGCCGGCCACCACCCGCCAGCCACACGGTAGCAAAGCAAAGGTAGCACAAGTGCAAAGGTCGAGCAAACTAAATTTAATTGAAATCGTAATAAAATATTTAAGAAAAATATAGTGCGAACGAGGGACCATGACCATGACGATGACCGCAACTGTGACTGTGCGGGTGTGCTGGGTTAAATGGTTTTCCGGTATTACAGACCGAGGAAAAAGATATAAAACTTAAATCATGTCAAAGTTGCTGGATTCCTTTGCATTGGTAAATATTGCCCCTCATATATACATGTATATATATATATATATGTATGTGATATATGATTTGGTATATATGTGTGTTAGCCTAAATATCTTTTGGCCGTCCGTCTTTGACGTCCGACTTCCGACACTGAGCATGATCCACCGCCGATGGACGAGCGTCACCTTTCGCTGCTGCCGGGGAAACTTCCACTGACAACTGATTCTAAACGTTAACACAAACAGAGAGTGGGGCACCAACGAATATTACAAAACCCAGAAGTAGAGGAAAAAGATGATGAAAACGATGCCGACAGCCGCCACCTTCATGACCATCGACTTGCGGTTGAGTAATTTGGCATCCTTCTTGTACTTTTGCGACATCAGCGACAGGTTCTGGGTCTTCGTGTCGAGGTCTGCAAGCGAAAAAAGAAAAAAACGGAGATTAGATATAGGCTCAGAGGTGGTATATTGTTAGTTACCCGCCAAGACCGTGCCACGTTGTAGCACGTCGTCGATGTTCTGCACCATGATGCGCTGCACGTCCTGGAGCTGTGTGTTGATATTGTTGATGTTTCGCCTGCGGTCCGTCAGTTGCCTTTTCGCCTTCTGTATGTACACATCGAACTCGATGAAGGCATAGGGCCGGGTCACCGAGTTCACCCTCCGCCCATAGTGTGTGTGGAACTCCTGGGCAAGGTCCTCCAGGTAGTTGAACGCCAGTCGCTTGGAATACATTTTATCGACCATGACCAAGTAACAAACGTCATTCTCGATTAGAACGCTGCTTGGAGGGAAATGGGGGAGAAGAGGGAAATGGAAATAGTGCGATTGCCGGCAGCGTTAGCTTCATTGCATCATCGTATATAATACACAACAGGCGATAACTGATGGCTGGCGGTACTCACTGGAATAGGTATGGTCCCGTCTCGATGCTACTCCTGGCCGGCGAGTGTGTGCCCAGCTTCCGGAAGAGCATCTTCGCCTGGTTCTGATAATCCAAGATGCTGCGTCCGCTCTAAAAGTGAAAGTTTTTCAGTTAAGAGCGATATTTAGCGGTTGAGGTGTGTTGGTGAGAAGTGGAACCTTTGACACTGACCTGCTCGTCTTCCTGCATGGTGCCTACCAGTGGCAGGCCATCGATGCCTCTGGCTATCATTGTAAGCATCGCCATGTTGAGGGCTCCTTCTCATTCGCTACGTGGACTTGGGTCGCTCGGTGTGTTGTTTCAGCTTAGCGCTCTCGCTCTGTGAACACGGCTTCACTTTCCGATGCCTTGTCCCGCTCCGCACCGTTGTTGTAGTGGTCACAGTGTTTGTAGCTCCAGCTACAATTCATTCAGCCTGTAATATTGTGAAATTTATATGCTACATATGTCGAACGGTTTCTCTCTGGCTCCCATATTCATATATATATATATACCCATACCTGTGCCTGTTCCTGTTTCTGTGACCGCTCCAGTGTCTCGTTGTCCGCTGAACGAATGCGTGAGTCGTGGCCTAATAGGTGACTGGTCTCCTATGGGGGGTCGGCATTGCTTGCGTTTTAGTTTGTGTGAAAACTATGTTGCAACGTTGGGCGACGAGGGGCGGTCGCTAAATCCGATTCGTGTTTTTTCCTGTAGAGGGAAACACGTCAGCAGTGTCAACGATAGCTGGAATATTTGGTCACACTCGTTCAGTGGAGATCTCAAATGGACGATAGTTCTTGGTCATCTATCGATACCGTGCTTTGGCGGTTAATTTTAAACTCGAATTTCCCTCCGGTGAAGATCAATGGAGCTTCATGAAGATCAGTACCCTGATCAAACTCGTTGAAACGAGTTTCGCCTAAAGATAGTTACGCAACTCCCATCTTCCCACTGCTTCCATAACTTCCCCCGCTGACCAGGCATGAAGGAAATGCACATGAACGCATTTTTCAAATGCTTCCTCTATGCGGTCAGGCGAATATAGGCGCAAAACTCGGCGACCAAAGTAGCCAGCCGTGTGACAATTCGCCCAACTGGTTTCACTTCGTTTCGCCTGGCCTCGGTCTGGGCCCCTGTCTGAACAAGCATGGAGAAGAGTCGAAAAGGAAAAGTAGTTCGCAGCCACAGGCCAAAAACCAGACCAGGGACTGGGTGGGTTTGAGTTCGAGTACTTGGCCGCCTTGTAGTTGTGCGTACTCGTGTTTCAATTAGAGTGACCATTTGCTATGGGCTGCTGGGGAACCTGTTCAATTTTCGATGTTCGATGCTCACCCACCGCCAAGGTGCGTGCACTTCCGTTCGTTAGCCGCCTTCCACACGCTTCCGCTTTCCATGTTCCGGACAGACAGCTACTATAAAAAGCGCCAGCTCCTCCCCATGGACAAACAAACGGTCGACAATCGCCATGTCCACAACAATAAATTTAGCGGTAGCGGTACTCTGTCTCCTGCATTTAGTGGGAGCCATTGCTGGCCAGCAGAATCTCCTCACGCGTCCTCAGCGGAGCTCTCTCTTCGGTGGGTCACCCGCTTTGGATTCGCTCGCTTCCTTCGGCTCCATCGGTCACCTGGCTCCCCTTACATCAGCCGGCTGGAACAGCGTGACACCGATTGTCGGGGAGTGGGCCTACAATCCGATTGGTCTGGGACACATGAGCAAGGATGAGCTGGTGACCCTGCTGGACGCTTGGCGAGAGGTAGAGCAGGAAGTGGCCACCAGCCCAGTGCCAGAGCCACTGGAAACCACCACAACGCCGGCACCACCAAGGCGACCCCGTCCGCCTCCTCCTCCTCCACCGCCTCCACCACCACGGCCAGTAGTGCTTGCGCCTGCTCCCAATCCGCTAGCACCTGGTACTCCAGTTACCGTTCGACTGCCGGCCTTTGTCCCCGTCCGGCTGGCGGCCATGTTCACTCCCCGCGCTCCCGATGCCGTTGCTCCTGCTGCTGGCGGGGATGACCTGGTCACCGATGATGTAACAGACAGCGAGGCCATGCCCCGCCTCTTCCGCTTCATGCAGATGACCGCGCCACGCGCCCCCTCGTCTCGTCGCCAGCAACAGCAGCAGCAGCAGATCGTAGTGCGGAATACGCTGGACAGCATCGAAGCGGGCACCTCGCCGGCCAGGAACCGCGTGAAGCCCAGCCCCAGGGTGGCCCAGGCAGCCCCACAGCCTGCGCCAGTGTCTCCCTTCCATGCCAGGTAGGTTTCGCCTCGTGTGGATCCTTCCCCACGATTCTTGGTGGTCTTATATCAGTCACTTCCATTTCCAGGTTCGGAATGCCGGACCAGCTGGCCAACGCTCGCCTGGAGCTCGTGCCCTCGTCGCAGATCATCGGCGACTGGCGAGAGTGAACCAAAGAGAAGAAACAACCTTCTACATATGTATATTTTTTTTTTATTTATAAGGATGTAATGTGTGTGTGTGTGGGAGATCTATCTCAGACCCAAATATGTCAGTCCCAAATCAAGAGAGACTTTCAGAATCGATCAGTTCTGAATCGAATCAAGCACAATAAAACAAAGCAACAAATTTTTTGAAGAATACATAAATCACATAAATTTCAATATACACATCCGAAAGGAACTATACTATGTTTTTTAGCGAGTCCATCGAGCTGTCGTGTGGTGTAGGCCGTCCAAATCCGAACTTCCAGCGACTGATTCCTTTCATAGAGCCCCCTAGCGATGAGTATGAGGGTCCCGGAAGCCAGGCCCCGGCACTTCTCGACCTCTCCCTGGTAAAGATCCAGCAGGACAGTAAGGACAGTAAAAGCAGAATTTTGAACAGCTAAACAGTACGATTTGCGCGGTCAGGTTACAGATTAACAACACCGCACAAGCCATCGGGGAAGAAGCCTTCGGAGGACTTTGTCAGGGCCACCATCGTGGATGTGGATCCCCTAACGGGTGGGCCCTGGTTGCGGCACAAGATCTTTTATCGGTCATCTCCCCGAAAAGTGCAGCCGCACTCCTCGCTGAAGCGTCGCCAAAAGATGACCAATTTGGTTACGTCCACTATGCTCAAGAAGAGTTTACCGGAAAATTTCACGGAGCCGCTGGAAAACACTGACAGGGAAATGAAGGTTCTCTGGAGGCGTGGACAGTCCCCACCGAACAACTTTATTAACCTGGAGCCTCGTCCGGTTCCGGCCATGATCGAGATTCTAGGGCCGAAGAATCTCCTAGAGACAAAGTCAGAACAAAGCGACACAGAGCTGAGCTCCATCAATTTGGAGGAGTCCATGTATTCTTCACTCCCACCATTTCTATCTCGCGTAGACCCGATTGATATGCCCTGCAGCCAAACCACTGTCCACGTCCGTACGGAGCTGATTTATGAAATATCCGGGGCTTCCATACAACAATCGATAGAGTTCAATCATCTGGAGGAAGAGTTTGAAGCGAAGAATATGCTAGACGATCTAGATACCCAAGAGCCGTGTGAGTCTGCTTGTAAAATGTTTGAAACAGACGACTCTTTGAAGGAACTGGGACCCAATTCCATCACTACAGAGATGATTGGCGATACGATTGGGGGATCGATCAACCACCAGCCACCAACGACAGCCACCACTTTGGACGAGGTCCAGCAGCACATGCGGGAACGGGTTAAGGTGACAGCCGAGAAGCTGACCAAAAAATTGGAGTCCCTCGCTGAACAGTTGCCGCGCATGTTCCAGCAGGAGAAGAGCGTCTCCACAGCCACTCAATTGCCAGAATGTCATCCCAGGCTAGGAGCAGGAGCAGTCTCAGTAACGTTTCTCATGAAGAACGAGGCAGCTTGTCAGAGAAGACGCGTCGTCCATTGTCTTCCGATAGTTCACGAGCCTCTATGCGAATTCAACTCGGCAGATAGCGTGACGGTGGTTAAGCCTACACCTAAGCATCAAGCGAGTGGAACTCAACGTGATGTCCAAAAAAAGGAGCAGACGTCTGGAGCATCCCTGACCCTTTCTGTGGGGCGCGACACGCTGCAGGCGCTAGATCGCGGAGCCATTCCAGAGACAGAGGAACCAAGTTGCAGTCATGCGTAGGAGTCGTGTCAGTGATACGCTGCTCTCGACAAATAAAACTTTGTTTATTTAGTGACATATTCAATAAATTAATAAGTAAGAGACGGCACAAACTCAAATTTAAAATTGAAAACTTTAAACAATTTTTAAATACGATATATAACGAGAAATAAACTTCCTTTCTGCTTCCTCCGATGCTGGTCGATCGCCGCTGAGGGCGTCTTCCTTAAGCATTCCGGCCCTTGACGTCGATCTCCAGTCCTTGACTACATCCGAACTTTCGAAGCTGACATAAATTTCAGAAAAATATTTTTTGATCTGTTATTTTAGATTTAGAAAGCAGCTGACAAAAAAAAATCAATTTCTAGATAATAAAAATGTACAAATTGAAATTTCCAACCAACTTTTACGACATGAAGCCTAATTATTGATTCATTCCATACACATTCCCGTTAAATACCAAGAAGAAAGCGAATCCCACAAAGATTATCTGCTGGGTTCATTCTAGCCCCATAACTAGAGCGAAAAATCCAAAAGTCCTATGTTATGTACTTTAATACAAATTTAATTTAATTTGGTGAGCAAAGTCCTCAAAGGTCACACATTTTCGCTATCTTCAGATAATAGTATTCTTACCAGTTTGCCGAACCTGGATCAGATCGTATCATTTTTATAGCCAAAAGGAACAAATCAATTTGCTGTGGCTGCACAACGACCGACGACACGTTCTGACTGATTTTCTATCTCTCTCGCGCGCACTCTTCGTCATTTAATGTCAGCGCCGTCTGCCGGAGGAAAGCCATACTGACTGTGTTTCGGTTATAAATGTAGAGTTGCGGTCGCAGCAACAACTAACAACGTTCTCCCTCGTTTTCTTTGCATTCGCATGAGAAAACGAGAAATCGACGAATATTTAAAATTTTTGTATCGTGCAACAAATAAGCTGAGAAATAACTTTTATCGATTTCAGTATTTCATTGCATGGGTGCGACTATTTTTATACGGTAACACTGCTGCACACACATACTGCATTCAATAAATCCGCGGTCACACTTTGTTACTTTCCCGCCTTTTACTCAATAAAAAAATTAGGTGCGGCGCGGAAAGTGCATGCCCTGGACACTGTAGATATAATAGGAACACGGTTTGCCAACCCAGCCGAACATCAGCGAGCATCAGCAGGCGCCAAAACAGACTACAAAAGTGCGGAAATCTGCCTTCGCTGCCTGCCCACGTCCCCCGCCCCGCGGCGGCAGCAGCAACCACAAAAAATACAAAATCAAACAAAAACCAAGAAAACTTAAGTTTAGTGTAGCAAAAATAGTGAAAACGCACCCGTGCACGATGAGCAACGACGGCCAAGAGCAGGAGCTGGGCGCCGAGGTGGTCAGTGGGGCCGTGGTCACCGACGACACCCTGGAGATCACGAAAGCCAAATACACGAATCTGTGCCGCGAACTCAATATGGACAGCCAGACGGAGGAGGACGGCTGGGCGATGTACCTTGATGTGAGGCAGCGCTGCGTCATGGAGGTAAGTTGTTCCGTTCGCCGCTCTCATCGATCCCCTTTCTTGCCATCAATCTGAATCTGATATCTCACAGGGTGACTCCTTGATGTGGCTTTGTTGCTGTCTCTTTGCGGCCTGCCGTCGGTCGAGCACGCCCACGGTGATTGGACAGGATGCCGTGGTGCGCGGCAATTGCGTATCCCTCAACAATCTGCTGCGGTGCTGCCAGATGAGGTAGGTCCCTTTGAATTCTCTCTCAACCATCGATATCACATCATCCATCGCTTTGTGTGTGTCTGTTTGTGTAATGGTTTTTCCAGCATCTACGACTTCAAGACCAAGATCAAGCAGTGGTGCGACATGGCCAACCTGCCGCAGGAGTTTGTCAACGAGATCGAGGTACTGGATCGCAAGTTCAGCATCACATTCACACTGTACAAACGCTTTCGTAACATCTTTGACAAGATCTTCAACTGTCCGCCCAACGAGAAACGTCACTCGAAATATATGTGAGTGCCGGTCGCCTATGTCTATAATAAGAGTACTCCCTGTAATCCCATGATCTTCTGATCTAATTGCAGTTCCCTGCATGCCAATCACGCCAATGGCAAATGCTCCTACATCAAACTGGATGACATTTGCTGGCGGCTGTTTTTGTGCGCCAAGAACCAGAAGCCGAGCACCACAGTTGACCTGGTCACGTCTTTCAATCTGATGATCTGCTGCATCGATCTGATCTACAACAATGTGCTGGCCGAGAAGCGCACTGATCTCATCAATCCTAAATTCGACGGCCTGCCTAACAACTGGACGGAGGTGGACTTCAAGGCGAATCCCCACTGCATACTGACTTACTTCTGCGACATGACTGAAGAGGCCAAGGCCATGAAGGCCACCACCTTCAGGGAGATCATGTCCAGCTTCTTTCAGACAATGGTGAGTGGCAGATGAAGAGAAAATGAAACAAGCGCAATCAAGTCATAAACATGCCTCTCCATTCCTCTCCAGACCATCTATGGCCACAAAGATAACATGCTGGGCCTCTTGGCCAACGAGAACTTTGAGCGCAACCTAAAGTCGCTCAACATCAGCTACGAGCAGTACGTGCTGAGCGTGGGCGAGTTCGACGAGCGCATCCTGAGCGCCTACGACGCCAGCGATCACACCAACCTGAACGACCAGGCCCTTAGACCCCCGGTCACGCCGCTGACACGCAAACAAGATCTGCCAGCCCAGCCGGCGATGGCCGGTGAGAAGTTCGAACCCGTTCTCAATGCCACCAACAATGTGAAGCAGCTGAGTGCCTTCGATCGCATCACCGAGCCCACGGAATATGTCAAGTGCGTTTCCTATCCTGACAGCCTTTGAATGCGGTTGCTTATCGTTCTGTATCATTGCAGGCAAGCTGGCGATGAGGTGATTGCCAAGCTGCTGAAAATCATCGAGGACATCAAGCTTAAGTTCCTCGCAAAATATCCGTCGGGGGAGGCGAAAAGCCGCTTCCGACTGGCCAAGTCCTTCTACTACTATCTGCTGGATCAGATCTTGCAGGCGGAAATCAAGAACAAGCCCGAGTTCGATCTCAAGCGTCTGCTGGTGCAGAAGATCTCGCTGGACATCTTTAACATCACGCTTATGGCCTGCTGCGTGGAGCTGGTGCTGGAGGCCTACAAGACGGAGCTCAAGTTCCCCTGGGTGCTCGAGTGTTTCAGTATTAGTGCCTTTGAGTTTCAGAAGATCATCGAGATTGTCGTGCGACACGGCTCGCACGAGGGCTGCCTCAACCGCTACCTCATTAAGCATCTCAACTCGATCGAGGAGACCTGCCTCGAGCGCCTGGCCTGGGCGAGTAACTCCCCCGTCTGGGACATGATCGCCACCGCCCCTAAGCCGCTGCCCACCCACTACGACGTGAACTGCGACCGCACCGCCGGCGCCCTGCAGATCTTTCTGCGCAAGGTCTACCTCCTCGGCTGGCTGCGCATCCAGAAGCTCTGCTCTGAACTGATTCTGATCGACAAGGCGCCTGAGCGCATCTGGCACATTTTCGAGCACTCAATCACACAAAAAACAGACCTCATGAAGGACCGCCATCTCGACCAAATTATCATGTGTGCAATATATATTTACATAAGGGTGAGTGCGCGCTCTATCTCTCTCTAATTGATGCGCTTACATAAGTACATAAGGGCTCAAATGCTATGCCACTTTGACCACATTGGCATTTCCCTGCTCTGTCCTGCCCTAATGCAGTTGTAAACCATTTTTCATATTTTTCTCATGGCATCCCTCCCACAGGTATCGAAACTAGAGGATCCAAAATTCAGCGACATTATGCGCGCCTATCGCAATCAACCGCAGGCGGTGAACAGCGTCTATCGCGAGGTGCTCTTCGACCTCAACGACGATGGGCAGCCGAAGGTGACGGACATTATATACTTCTATAACCACAAGTATGTGCCGCTGATGAAGCAGTTTGCGATCGACTACCTGAATATGACTCCGGACGTGACCGGCTGCAAGATAAAGGCCGCCGATCTACTGCTTTCACCCCATCCCTCGGAGCGGGCCGCCCAGCCGAAGAAGGTCACGCAGAATCACTCGCTGTATGTCACGCAAATGCCCAAGAACGAGATCCAACAGTCGCCGAATCAGATGGTCTACGAGTTCTATCGCAGCCCCGCTAAGGTAACCATTCGACCTGTGACCTGTGGCCGCGTGCCTCTCCTGCCTCTTACCATCTGTGGCTCATCTGTTCCAAATGTCCTTCCTGTAGGATCTGCAACTGATGAACGAGAAGGTGCGCGGGGGCAAGCGCATGCTCAGCTTCGGAGATGAGCCCGGCCTGGGCCAACTCGAGACGAAGCGCATCAATCTGCCAACACACCTCAGCCAGATAAAGGCGGTGATGGACGATCGGGAGAGCGAGCCGCGGGATCCCAAGTAGAAGAAGTAGACGGATTCAAACGAGACATAGATAGACACCGGGTCTCTGGGGGCAGCTTAGATTTTAGTTTAGAAGGACGATGGGGGCGAGGCGCTGGCGGTGAGACCAGAGGACCTGAGCGGCTATGGTCGATTTTATGATTGTTTTTTATTTTTTTTTAGTTTGACTTGTTAATTTAAACACAAAAAACCCAATCGTAAGCATCCCTTTTACACCATGCTCGATAGAAATCCGCTTAGAAATCCGTTCAGCATAGAAATCCATATTATCTCTTAGACTCTTGCACTGGCTACTGCTACTGCTAAAGCAGTTTATTCGAACCACGCATCCGCATCCGCGTCTGTATCACGTATCATTTTTGTATGTGGTTTTGCGAGGGTTTTTGTTCGGTTCGGTTCCATCATCTACAATTGAGTGTATTGTGTGCACAGAATAGGACAGAGGATGAGGATGTACCGCACACAATCATTTGTTTTTATTGTGCGACACAATTGTTTTATATAGTGCCACAAATCATTTGGCAGAATTTGTACTATAGCACCGATCAACAACTTAGAGCTTTTTTTTATCTCTACGTTCTAGATATTAGATCCTATGTGACATTTTTAATTACTTTGGTGGCACTTTACAAAAGCATTAAATTAATATATAAACTTTTTCACCCACTAACAATTCCTATATTCTATTCCCCCTACTATGTATATCCCCCCTAGTGTGTGCAATGACCATTTTAAAGCATCAGTCTATCTCTTGTCTATTGCAATATCTACATTTTACCGTGTTTCACGAGTCCGTTTCACGTACCTTTTTCAAATATTTTACCACAGAATGGCATAAATTATTCCATGAAAAGAATCAATACGATGGTCTGTAGCTATTTTTGGGCTTCTTTTCATGATCGCTCTCATTTTGTGCAATAAAGGAGCCAAGGGATGTATAGATATCTAAAAATCCATTAAGCAGTTTACAAAACAAACTAGACTCCAATTAGATCTCCATGATTTGCCTACGATTTTTTCGTTAGTTTAGGGACTTTCTGCCTTATTCTGTTTTTATTTAAAATTTTTAAATTTCATGGCGCGGTGAGGGGTGGGGGGGAGTACTATCCTAGCATGGGGTAGGGTTACCATTTTGCCCAATTATTGAGCAAGTCATTCGCGCAACAACACACATTGTTCGACACATAAAGAGCTTTCAGAACCATCGGAACATCTTTTAAGTTCAGGCCTTTAGACTTTTTTTCGAACAGGCGGAGCGATAGGCAGGCGCTCTTGTCGCTGATAAAGAGATTTAAGAAGGTCCACATTATATACGATTATACAAAATATATAGAAATACACTTTATAGAAATCGATATTGCTATCATCTGCGTTCTTCTTGGGGGGAATAAAACTCTCCAGAATATTGCATTCAAAGCGTGACTTTATTGGGGAACATGACGGGGAACTTTGTAGACGGCATAAGTCCTATGGGTCCAGACGCAGGGTCTTCACTATGAAGTTCAGGGCAGGACGCTGCGTGATGGCTGTGGAATGGAGGCGTTGCTCAAGCAGCGGACTGCAGGTGAACAGCGGCGCTGACTGCTCGGGAATCATGCGGTAGGCGACGCGCCTCCAATTGGGTACCACTACGTCGACGCAATGCTCGAGGTCCTCATGACAGGCGGGCAGATCGATGGGTAGCGCCAGGGCCAGGAGGTGGACGATGGCCAGGCACAGCTGCTGCTGCAGGCCGTCGCGGTGGTTGTACTCCTCGAAGCTGTCCAGAGCATTGGAGCGCTCTAGGGCCTGCAGGAGTGAGCGCCACACAAGCGTGAAGTGGAAGCCAAAGTCCGCGCGTTGCTCCACCTGCAGTAGGACGGCCGTGGCGTTGATGCGCACCTTGAAGTTGGCGTGCTGGACTATCAGCTGACAGAGCGAGGGGAAGAGGAGGTCACCCAGGCCAGCGTTGCCGGAGAAGAAGGCCCGGTGCTTGACTAGGCTGCCGATGGCGTAGCAGGCATTCCACTTGACCTTTGCCCCGCCAGCGGTCCGCATACAGTCCAGCAACTTGATAATGGCCGTCTGAGCCTGCGTCTTTTCCTGGGCGACATCTGGGCGCTGCACTGCCAGCAGCTGCAGCTGGAGCTGGAGCAGATTGCCCAGGGCCCGCACCGCGTTGGCCCGAACCTTGTCGTGATCGCTACAGCATTTGGTGGCCGTCTGGATGAGGCGGTCGAGCAGCTCGTCGTAGACACGCTCCGAGTTGCCAGAGCCGCCGGCCAGCAGGGCGTCGCTAATGTTCCCCAGGGCCCAGGCAGCCTTGATCCGCACCGCCATCTGAGTATCGCTGGTGAGCCGCAGCGTCAGTTCCGCCACATTCTCCACGAAGACCAAGTTCGCTTTGAGAGAGGGATGATGCGCGAAGACAGCCAGGGCCCGCAGCGCGGCTGCACGCACCAAAGGCTCCTCGGCGTCGTCGCTGCTGCAACCGCTGAGGAAGGTCACCAGACTGCGGCGCAGCCCGGTGGGTAGGTCCTCAAAGGTGACGGCTCCTATGTTCGACAGCGAGTCGCAGAGGGCGCACTTAAGGGGGCCGGGGGCCGCCTCAGCGCAGAAGGCCGCGAAAATGTGGGGGAGGAGGCCGAGCCAGAAGGAGAGCTCGAGGTCCCGGTCGGACGGTTCGGGCAGGGCCCGCCCCATCTGGTAACCCATCGAGTCCAGGCATCGGGCGGCATGCAACCGAACGTCGGCATTGGCATACATGAGGCCCGAGGCAATGACCCGCCCGAGGTGTGCCTGCTCTTTTCGGAGCAGGCCAATGTGCGTGGTCATGGCCAGGAGCACTTGGTAGCACTCCAGCCGCAGCGGTGGCTCCGTCGTCGGACAGTTCAGATATCGGAGTACCATGCGCAGGAGCCACGAATTTCGCGGTATCGATGGCTGTTCAGTCAGCCTCTTGGGCGGATCCACTTGCTCCTGTCTCTGTTTCTGTCCCTGTCCATGTTTCTGCTCGTGGTCGTGCTCATTCTCTTCCTCTGCTTCAGAATCGCAGAGCTCCAGGAGGTGCTCTCGCTCCTGCTCTTCATTGTGCTGCAAATGCAGGCCTTCTAATTGCACCTCCATTCGCTGTGAAGGGCACAGGCCGACGGCACAGGCCATTTCCTGGGTCAGTCGTGGTGTCGCCACCAGCATCTCCATAACCAGCAGGGCGGCCACTGTCACCGGCGTGTTCCCCCCGGTCTTCGCCAACCTCTTTACGGGCAGCACGAACTCGTAGACGAAGCCCATTTCCAGATGATCGAAAGGCGTGGCCTGAACGAGAATGGCCAGACACTTGAGGCACTGCGTCAGCACGGGTGGGGCGTACTCACGATCCAGGATGGAGGTCAGCGAGCGGTAGACGGTCATCACGGATCTGGCCAGGCTTACGGAGAACGGGGTGAATGTGCACGGCCCCCGGGAGTGGGCCTGGCTCAGGTATCCTTTGGAGCCATATAACAGTTGTCCGGCGAGCTGGAGGGCCAGGGCGCGGCAGCGGGAATTGGCATCGTTTTTTGCCAAATGGAGCAGATGGTGCGTCTGCGAGCCCTCGTCGCTGGGGAAGATCACGTGCCAGTAGCCGTAGAGGGAGCGACGGGGCAGCTGCTTGGTCAGAGCGCTCATCAGGTGGAGGGCGGAGATTCTCACGCTTGCTTGCTGTTGGCGCAGCGCTTTAGGGGCCGCCTGCTGTGCTTCGGAGTCGGACAGGGTGCATGCCTCCGTGTCGCCAGTGAGGCAGCCATAGTCGATATTGCTCAGCAGCAGTAGTCGTTCCTGTGGTATGCTGTGCGCTGCATCACCCGATGGGCCGTTCTTCTGCTTCTGGCGGGGGCGTACCTTTCGGACCTTGTTGCGTTTGCCGCCGGAGCTGGACTTATTATGGCTGCTGTTGGACTGATCCTCCTCCTCGGCGCCATAGGCAGCAGCTTGCTGGGCAGGCTGCACCCTTCGGGGCACGTGCAGCTTGGCCGGGTTCTCGCCGCAAGCGGCATAAGTAAGGTGGGCCAAAATGCAGCCCATCAGCTCCGGGGCGTGCTGCTCTGCGTAGTCGGCGTTCTTGCTGACGATCTTCTGGAGGAGCTGGAGTGTGTGGGCCAGGAGCAAGGGCAGCTTCTCCGACTGGGATGACACCCAGCGTCCCTCATAGTGCGGCTGCAGCAGGTTGTTGGCCAGGTACTGGCTAAGTTTCGGGTCCTCTGACTCAGCCAGCTCGACATACACCGTTTCCTGGCACATGACCAGCAACAGAGCCGCCTCCGCGTCCTGCGGCAGGGACAGAATCGACAGAATTGGCCAAAACGACTGCAGATGCTGTCCAGGCAGCGATTTCAGCAGGGTGTGCATCAACTGCAGCTCGTCCACGACGCTATCCTGAGCCGCCCGCTCCAGCAGCCACTCCACCAGCAGCTGTGGCCGCGCCAGCAGCAGCCGCCTAGTCAGGATCAGCTCGTTGAGCCACAGAAGCCATGCTCTCAGCAAGTCATGGTACTCCCTCTTGTCCGCCTCCGCCAACAGCTGCTGCACTTGCTCGGCTGTGATGCCGTGGGCCTCACCTGCTCCTCTCCTGATATCGTGCAGCAGCTGCCGATGCTCCTGAAGACTCACCCTGTCCAACGGCAATTTGTTCGAGCATCCACCGGTGCTTAAAGTGTTTAAAACGTTCAAAAGCCCATCGTGCGCTTGTATCTCTCTATCACCGTCCATTATTAGCAGTGTGACCGCGGATTTATCGATGAAATATACCGTCCGACCCTCAGAAATATACCGAAACATACCGCCTCATTTTCAAAATATACCGTAAATATACTGACGAATTCAAGTTCTATTTTATATATTCCTTGTTTTTGATATTCCCTCGAATATTACTAGCTATATAGACCATTAAGCGATGCCATCATAAATTTATACGATTGATGAATAAATTTTCTATTTAACTGGTGTATTCTTAATACCTTGCATTTTGCGTAAAAAGAGGTTTTAGCAAACTAAGTCAAACAAAAAACAAGTAGCGAAATAGGTCAATCAAAACAAACGAAAAAGGAAATTGCTCAATTTTTATATTCCATTGTATAATGCTGACTAACTAAATCTCTCAGCAATGCCCACATAGCTTTATCCCATTGATTAATAAATTTTCTACAAGATTGGATAGTTTTAAATCCTTGCTTTTATTGTATTTATTGTAAAAAAAGGTTTGAACGAAAAAGTTTAACAAAAAAAGAGTCGCTATATTGCGTGTAGTATAGGTCTTTGTACACCCTATTTTATTAATTTTATATGAAAGTATAAATATTGATATGAAGATAAAACGTAACTAATAAAGACCTTTTCTCAAATTTACATTTTTTAGTCATATTAATGTATATATGATGAGTGTTTTGTATATATATCTCAATCCTGATACCTATTCTTGGTCCCTACAAGAATACAATAAGTTTTAAAATATAGTTGAAATATTGAAAATAATATTAAATAATATTGAATAGTATAAAAATATATTGAAAATAAATTGTTTTTGCCTGGGATGACAAACATATTCACAATCCTATAACATCCATTTCCCCCAGGCGATGTGTGTATGGAATGAGCCTCATTGTTGTCAATCGGGTAAAAGAGGTCCTTACCAGATTCATTTTCGGTTATCGATACTATCGACTGGTTACGAGTGGTGCGCGCCAAATCTAACTTTTTTTAATGTGAGCGACAAGGATTTAAATGTTATCAACCGGGCCATTCCCGATTCAACAAATACGACGAAAAAAAAACAAATAAAATATTGAAGATCGTTTAAAAATTAACGTTTATTCAAGCATCTATTGAGTTTCGGTTCTGGATGCCCATGTAATTTATTCTTAAATCTAAGCTAGATCGAACTGCGCCAGAAATAAAGTCCACCCTGAAATAACCATTGCAGACCATTGCCGAAATGTACATTTATTTGGTGGGTGGAGGGAGAGGGTGGGTGGGGGAGGGGTCATCACTAAGCAGCAAGAATGGAGAATCATATTAAATCATTATCTTTCAGTATCTGCGAATACATCGAGTAGTCCCTGAGCCAAACAATGAACTGGCCAACAGATTAGTTCGTGACTGTCTGCCTGTCCTTAATATCGAACTACAATACATATGTATGTATATCCGTATATAATAGTTTATAATTATATATTTGTATATTTATGTACTATATATATATGTATATATATACTGATCTGATGTATATCTGTATATAAACATGTATATGTTATGCATGCTAGGCGGGCTTCTAGTGTTCAAAAGGCAGGGGAGGTGGGCCGTCGTTTGAAAATTCATGTTATTCGATTGTAAAAATTGGGTTTTTGGATTTTTTATTTTTGGGTCTGAGTTTTGCCTTTTGCCTGGTCGAAGTCTTTGAGAAACACATAGCTAAACCGTGAGCTTGTTGTATAAGGTGTATATGTGTATACAATATACAGTATGTATATAATATAAATCTGTTTGTATACATATGTATGTATATGAATATCAATATCTAATATCGTACAGTACGCTACGGCTAAGAGTGTATATAATACATAATAAAGTAGTATATAATATATATTGTATTGTATGTATAAAATAAACATATATTGGGTGAGAAAAGTAGAGACATGAGCCACGTATAATTTGAATCTTTGGCAAGACCGCAGATACTGATCACAAGAATCGTTTCGATTTTAGTTTTTTTTAGTTTAGTCATTCGTTATTCTAGGCTACAACTATTGCTATATTCATGCGCCAGGGTTTGGCATCATAAAATTTGGCTAATTATGGAGCAGCAGTGACTTGGGGGTACCATCGTTCAAAGGAACACGTTACAAATGGCTGACAAAAGAGAGAACCCTTCGAATACACCGCGAATACATATAGGTACATATATAATATCGCACCCGAATCCCTGTTTTTAAGTACTCTAAGGTCTAAAGCCGCTGTTTCTCTCCGCAGTGTTGTGTGTGCGTCCACTAACCACTAATCACTTATGCTAATGTCGCTGGGATAGAGGTTGACCAATATGGCATAATAGTGACAGCCGGCGGCCAGCACCACAAACAGGTGCCAGATGGCATGGGCCATGGGTATGAAGCCGTCCGACTTGAAGAACACAATGCCCAGTATGTAGAAGGCTCCACCGTACTTCAGCTGTATCATGCCGTGGAAGTGGTGGCCAGTCAGAACTACAACGAGGGCGGGCCCCAGGCCCATCACCAGATAGAAGAACGTCTCCAAGCACTTGTAGCGCTCGTGAAAGAGCTGTTGAGAGGAGGATTGCGATTGGTTGCGTTGTTACACAGTGGCGGCTCTTGCGACTCTCACCTGCTGGTAGGCAATGCCCACCCCAGCCATCAGCCAGATGACCCACTCCATCGAAAAGAGAATGGCCGAGTGGTCGGTATTTTCCAGCGTCAGCCAGGGAAAGTAGGAGCCAGCAATGAACACATAGATCATGGCCCGATCGCAGCGGTGCAGGACATTCTTTAGGCCCTGATACGTGCGCCAGCCGAACGCGGGCCAGGCCTTGTAGTTCCTCGGTGGTCTACAAAAAGGAAGCAAATCTATATAGAGACATTTTTAGAAAGCTATAACAGATTTACACTCACTTGTGCTCGGCACAGTAGCAGGAGCAGTGAAAGAACGTCGATATGGTGAAGAGCATGCACAGAGCACCACCGTACACCCACGAGACCAAATACTGGCTGGCGTTGGTGGAGCGCTCGAACAGTTTGATGGTCGCAAACAATGCCGGCAGTATCCACATCCCATGGGTAATCACGTTGGCCATCTGTTCAATCTGTTTATTGGGGTAAAGCAAATCAAAAGTAATTAGCAAATGGGCAGCCGAAAATAAAAGCCCGATGTGGGGGACCAACCTCTGTCGGCTGATAGGCACAGCCGGGCTTGGCCTTCGCATTCTTCCACTTAATGTTCCGCAGCTGGAGCTTCAGCGACGAGTTCGACTTGATAATGGATTTCCAGAATTTGCTGAAAAGATTCTCCAGAAACGAGTACTTGTTCTGGATATCCTGCATCAGGCTCACGCTGCCGTTGCCGTTCCCGTTGTTTCCGATGCCAATGGTGCTCATTGTGCTTCTGGGAGAGTGCGTACCGCGTACGATACAGATACAGGATACAGGCTACAGCTACAGCTACAGTCAGAAACAGCTACACCAGGTCGCCAGCGCGCGCAACTGCGGATGAGTTGGAAAATTGGTTGTCCGTGTTCTAAAAATTGATTGATTATATGTCTATCCACTGTCGAGTGGCCTTCGTTCGCTACCGTCATCCACCCATCCACTCAACCAGCCACCTAGCCAACCAGTCACCCAACCCAACAACCCCCAGCCAACCCCTACCACACACAAAGCATTCCCAATCTAAAAGTAGCCAAGCAATTGGTTGGGTTATGGCCAATTGATTATCACTTTGCCACTGGTCGTTGATGGCAGTTGATGGCTTATCACCGAGGCGAGCGGGAGAGGCAGGAGGTAGGAGAGGCACGGTGGCGTGCAGCACAGACGACACTGTTCCGATAAGCATTCAACAACAATGATTGCTGTTCGCAGACAGACCGAACATGGTAATCGTAATCGTACATGTATTCGCACTCGTACTCGTATTCCCGGGCACTTGAGAATTTTCGTTAGCTCTCGTAATTTATATTTATTTGGTTTGCATATAAAACGGCTAGGTCGGCTCATATCAATTGCAAACACAATGGCCATTGGCCAGGGGCAGAGGCAGAGGCATGAGCACAAATGGATGTGCATCTGGATTTGGATGTGGATCATGATCTGAGTGGGGATTAAGTGTGCCTCTGACCCGGAGACTGACTGCAGTTGCGTCCAATTAGAGCTGTAGCAATTGACAGCACCAGAGAAAGCGGACGGACGGACAGACGGGCAGGGGAAACCAGTTCTCAGTTCTCAGTTCTGAGTGGCTGTCCCGCTTATCGCGCGTGTCTCCGAACATGGCTCAAAGTCCAGGTCCGAGCATGATTACAATACATACTCGAGTGTATCTATATCGATGGGTGATGGGTGAGTGGCTTAGGGTAAGGTACGCAGTACCGTCACGTAGAGTGAGCACTAAGAGGCCAGATACTCATGGTCAGGGTCTTGGGCGTCGAATTTATGCTGGATTCGCAAGATTCTTGAGACAGTACTTGATCGGGTCCAGCACCCACTGGGCATTTTACTGCCTCGGATCGTTGGAGACCTCCTAAAAGTATGCCTCAAATGCAGCTGGGGGTCACTCAAATCATAACGGAATGTGGGCCATGCATTCCTGCCACCCACACCTGCTGAGACCCCACCCCTGCTACCACCTGGGCTCGCCCAATTTCCATAACAACGACTATGCTAACGCTATAAATATCGCCGCCTCAGGGTATCCCCTATATTGGCTATTATGGCATCAGGAGGGGGGTAGTGGCTGGCTGGCTCGCACCGACTGTGGCTGGGCACGGGGCTGGGGATTAAGATAGCTACTGTCTGACAGATTCTATCGTGCTGTTAATCCAATTTGTTTGGATGTGTCGTCACGCCATTTGTTATGGCGACTCGGCTTTCCGTGTCGGCCGTTGAGCGTGTTTTTAAGATGTGTTATAGAATATCGGACTGGGAGTAAAACTTACAATAATGTTCTTGGGGCTGCAGGTGGAGATGCAGATGCTGCGACCGCGGTGGAGGCTGCGGCTGTGGCTGTGCCTGTGCCTGTGACTGCTGTGTGGATGGTGATGATGCCCTTACAGCCACACAGGACTCGCGCGTAGAAAATCCAAGACACTGTCACTACACTTTCACATCTGTTTGATCCGCTGCTGCATCTGTTTATAAATCTATATATATAATAATATATCACTTGCACCCATCTCTGATATATCAATATATCGATATATATTTTGTTTGTGGATAATATATTTGTAGGTGATATTTCTTTGCAGTGGCTAAAATATTAAAATGGATATTTTTGTGAGATATAGATATATCAAATACGAAACTACTCTAATGTTGTTTCATGACGTCAGATCAAATATACCCGCGACTCTTTCTACTTATGCACTAATCGGTATTTTTGTGCGATAAATGGAACGAATTTGGCGGTAACATGCTCTTGTTTTAAAAATAATACTTAGAGCCGACATCCGATTTTATGGTTGCTTAAAATTTAAATTAAAAGATTCTAGAGAGCGGTACCGATCGACAGCTAAATATCATCTAATATCGATGTTCTTGACAAATATCATATAATATTGGGATTCTCAAGACATCTAACAATCCTAGTTAAATAGTTATTGTTGTGCGATCGGAACAGCGTTATTCGCACCTAGAATAAATATTTTCATGTAGTTGTGTTTGATTACCATGAAAGTCACTGCTGCCTTGGGCTCTGTCTTTTGGAGGATTGGTTGCTGGCTGGCGATAACAACGGATAACAAAGGAATAGCCCAAAATGGGAACCATCAATGTATTGGAAATATCATGGAATATGTTGACTGAGAACAGACTAAGAAATTTCTCAGATATGATAATATTAAACTTCAGTAGACTACAAAATAAGTACAGAAGACTTTTTCCAAGTCCACACACAGCATCCCAAAAATATAGGCTTTTCGAGAAAACGGTGTAAAATTCCTTCTATCCTTACGATATCATAAAGATACCCCTGTCAACAACAATCACTGGTAAAACGTTCCTTCATAAGAATCATTATCGTATTTTTACAGAAAAGGCAAACAAACCCTCAGAAATTAGAGGGGTTATATATCTCTTATGGGAAACCAGAACAACGAACTGTAGATCGTCAGACAAGTCTCAATTATCCTTGAAAGTTGTTCTTATTCTTAAACATGCAGCGAGTACAAGCGCAAGAAACTTAATTTTCAAGGAAAGACTATATTAAATGAATTTTATTGAAATTATTGCACACTCAAATCCGTTTTGGCTTAAAACACTTTGGTATTCTTACAAAATAATTAACAAAACATTATAATCAGGGGGTCGACGTGTTCACATAAAATATTTTCGAGTGAATCTTTTGATTTCATGCAACACAACAAAACAGACATGAAATGTTCAGCCTTAACACAACCGTCTGTTTGTTACGTCATAAATAAGTCTCATGAAAAGAATCACTTGCACTGCTTATGTAAAAGGGTTTTACATGCTTTGTGAAATCCCTTCGTGAATCTTGTCAGCTGGAGACGGTCTGGACCTGCGACTGCTGATCGTGCGGGCAAGTCAGGGGATGGGCGCTCATAATGCGGCCTGCGCCCAGGCAGGCCACATCATCATAGAACACCGCATACTGCCCGGGGGTGATGGCCCGCAGAGGCATATCCAGCAGCACCTCAAAGCCGCCATCAGGGCAGGAGCGGAGGCAGCAGTCAACGAGCGGCTTGGTGTGCTGGAAGCGAAAGCGACATCGCAGGCTGCCTGCGGATGCGAGCCTCTGCTGGGATTGAACGCACAGCCAGTTGGGTGCCTCAATGTGGATGCAGGTGCTGAGGAGGGCAGGATGTTCGTGGCCGGCTGCCACATAAATGGTGTTGCTGGAGGCTTCCTTGCGGGCCACAAAATACGGCTGTAAGAAGGAGCCGAGGCGGCAGCGCTGGCCCACGGTCCACTGGTGGATGCCTTCATGGCTACCCACAATGGCCCCACTGTCAATGTCCACGAATTGGCCGCTTTTGGAGGCGATGTACTGCGGAGAAAGAGAGAGCTTGAGGACAGGAAGTGGGGAGCCATTGGATGGAATTACCTCGCGAATGAAGGACTTGAAGTCACGCTTGCCCACGAAGCAGATGCCGGTGCTCTCCCGTTTGTGGGCCAGGCGCTGGAGGCCTATTCGTCGGGCCAATAGCTTCACCTCGTTCTTGGCCAGGTCGCCCAAGGGAAACATGGTGCGCTGCAGGGCCTGTCGCGGTATCCCCGCCAAGAAGAAGGTCTGATCTTTAAAGGTGTCCGCCGGTATGAGCAGGCGGGCCTCCCCTCCGTCCGCGCGATGCTCCAGAAAGTTGCCTAGACTGTTACGAGCATAGTGGCCGGTTGCCACGGCATCGTAGCCGAGCTTGTCCAGGGCATGGCGGTGGAACAGGTCGAACTTGATGTGCCGGTTGCAGAGGATGTCCGGATTCGGAGTTAGGCCCTGCTGGTAGTCGTCCAAGAAAGCGCTGAACACCGCAGTCCAGTACTCTTTCACGTAGTTCACCTGCCGCAGCTCGATCCCCAGCCGTTGACAAGCCCATTCCGCGTCTTTTAGATCCTGCTCGCCGCTGCAGCGGCCGGCCTCGTCGTGCTCGTCCCAGTTGCGCATAAAGACGCCCATGACGCGGTGGCCACGCTCCTTTAGCAGGTGGGCGCTCACAGCACTGTCCACCCCTCCGGACATGCCTACAACAATATTGCGGATCATTTATATTAATTAAAATTTTGTACTTATATTTGTTTGCAAATGTTCCATTTAGGGATATTAAATATTGATACGCAAAAATATCGATATATATTATTGGTTGATAACATCATTGGAGGAGATATTTTTTGATATGGCCAATATATTAATATTTATATTTTTGTGCGATATATCATATACGGAAGAACTACTTTTCTGAACTTCGACATTCCTGTTGTTTTACGTCGTTAAAGCTACCCGCGACTTTATATTTTGTTTATCGATTCACAGGGTAAGCTTGAAAAAAATATCGGTACTTTTGTGCGATAAGCACCAATGTTAGTGCTCAATAATGTTTATCGATAAAGACTGTGACAACCAACCGTGTGGAGAAAACGTGATAAAGTGCGTGACAACTATTTGTGCTAAATTTATATTATTTTTCCACTCTTTGCATTTAGAACACTCTGAAATCATGACTGGACGTGAGGGTGGTAAAAAAAAACCATTGAAGGCGCCTAAGAAAGACGCCAAGGACATGGACGATGAGGAAATCGCATTCAAGCAAAAGCAGAAGGAGCAGCAGAAGGCCCTAGACGCAGCCAAGGCTAACGCCTCTAAGAAGGGACCCCTCGTCGGCGGCGGCATCAAGAAGTCCGGAAAGAAGTGATTGCACTGCCTACCAGCTGCTAGAAACGAAATTCACACACAAACCAATAAGAAGAGGCAGAATCAGAACAACAGAAACACGAACATTTGCAGCCTCCAGTTTTCGCGTCAGAACCATGGACCAAGATTTATTGTAGTGTGTGAAAACTAGAAGCATCTGTACCCTTTTTTTATACTTACCAATATGTACGATTAAATAATGCTATATTTATATAAACTTGCATTATCTCCGTTTTGTGAGCGCTTGTTCGAACCACAATGGCAATCAAATAAACGGAGAATTTAGAAATTGTAGAGGCTGACTAGAACTATATTCAGATATACTCTATACATATCTATATAGTAAGACGATAATGTGTCCGGTGTCCTCAGAGACGTGTGAATGTGCACTAGAATTCTCTAATCTAGGTGTCAATTTATAAAAATGTATTTAGATCCATAGGCATACATATATATATGTATGTGTGTAAATCTGCGCTCGACAAGCTAGCTGTGCCTGGCAGCACACGTGTCTGCACCGCCATCTAGATGTATGGATACGTCAGATTTGCATACAAGTAGAGCCAGAGCTACCAGATGGCCTCCGCTGCACCCAAAGAAATTTTGGAAATGGAATAAGACAAAGAAACCGGCAGCAAACTATTTATTGGCACCCTTTATTGTTCACCCTGTTGAGAGCTTGCCCGCGATTGTAGCTCAGGTATAATGTTTCGAAGAATATGTAATAGGATAGTTAGTAGTCACGGTCCATGTAGACCTCCACAAAAGATTCAAAAAACTCGTCATCGATGGCCTGGAGCTGGACCAGAGTGTTCAGCATTGGGAATTGATATATAATTATAAAGTGTTCAAAAAGCTACTCTTCTGGCTTTGGCGTTTCTCCTTTGGCTTCACTGAATCGGGCTCTTCAGTTTTCTTCTTCAAGGTGTGCGAAGGCTTTCCCCGCAGCATTGAGACCTCGTGCATGACGCGATAGGAGTCAATCATCGCCTGGCGGTCGATGTTTACCGAAGCCAGCTCCTCGTCAGTCATTTGATCCACTTTGTAGTGCTCAGACAACTCTTCGTCCGTCATCTTGCAACAGCCGTGGAATACCAACTCGCGTTGGTTGTTCTTTGGTTGACCATTGGTAGACGAAGCTAGCCCCAAGTCGTCGGTGAATGCGATCTTCTCAGCGTGTATGGCGCTGTTGCAGGCCGGAGTGGCATCCCCAGTTGGAGCACCCATCTGAGCATTGACCATCTTGCTTTTGCAGGGAAGAGTGGCGTCCTCAGTTAGAGCGCCCATCTGAGCGTTGACCATCTTGCTTTCACAGGCCAGAGTAGCCTCGCCTTTTGTAGAGGAAGAAATTTCACCTAATTCTTGTTTGGAGTCGCTCATCGCGCTTATTTTAAGAGTAATAATTGGCACAAGAACGCAAAATGAATGCTTTCAATTTTAAAGATGGCTGCTCAATGAGTCAGTAAAAAAATGGCAGGCACAATACATGTTCATTGACGGCTGTCAATTGAAATTTACCGCTTATAGCTAAGCTCGAATCGATAATGATTAATTTACCCAGTGCGACCCTGTTCGTGCATAGCAGGAAGCTTCCGCCAGGTAGCACCCACATACGACCATATCGTTATCGCCTATGTTTATTTTGAACATTCGAATCTGGCTAACAGGGTGACCTTTTACGGTATTTGATATAATTTTCCTGTTTATTTTGACGTCGAAATTGAGTTGAAGGTTTTTTTACGGTATATCGGTATATAATGGTATATTTAATCAATTTCATGAATCTTTTAAATTATATTTTTAAAGGTATATCAAAGAATACAGGGTATATAGACTAACATACACAAGATTTTTGGCCAGTCTCATGTGGGGCGGGATGCTCAACATTTGGCATACCCTAGGAAAAAAGATATTATATAGCTGCAGAAATGTTTGCCATCCCAGGCTCTAACTAATGTACAAATTAGTCAGTCTCTGTTTTAAAGGTATTTCAACGATATTTTTGCAATTAGTGGTCTTCTTCGGAGATCAAGAATAGGCATCGGGATCGAGATACATACATATATGTATATATATACAAGATACTAATCATAAGCATGAATATGTCTAAAACATATCAATCTGAGAAAAGTTCTTTATTAATTAAGTTGTAAAACAGCTTGGAAAAAGTTACCTTCATATTAAATGTTCGAAATAAGGTATATAAATGCGTAAACTCCGGTTGACAAGCACAGGTCCTCAAATACCAGCAACATGTAAGAAATGACGAGACATTCTATACTCACTTACGTTGCCACTTTTTTTTTCGTTTAACTTTGTTGTTTAAACCTTGTTTTCGACACAATGCAATAAATGAAAGATTTTAAAACAAGCCAGTCAAGTAGAAAATTGATTCACTAATCGGATTAAATTATGTGGACAGGGCTGAGGGCTTCACCTAGCTAGTAATATTAAACCGAATATCAAAATCGAGAAATATGGATTCTGATCATGGCCAGAGAACGATTAACCCATTATCGTGGGTATTAAAATACTCTCCATGAAAATGATGCAATATGAAGTTCAGTTCAGATGACAAATATAGTGGGGTTTTTGTAGATAAAGAGTAAGGATAAGATGGATGTGAAAGAAGATATTGCAAACAGTATTATTTTCTGCGGTTTAACTCAAGTTGTTCGCATATCTAAATAGAGGGGGCTTAAGTGGGCTAAGCTTGTTTTTTCAATACATAATTGGCGACCAAAAAGCGGCTCCATCCGAATTTACCCAAAAACCTGAGAAACTGAGAGTTTGAGAGGCAGCTGCCCGAAATGGCTTACGCCAGCATGTCGGAGGCGCGCATTCGTCCACGCCAAGTGCTGGTGCTCATCATAGTCTTCCTTATCGTGCTCAAGCTGGTCCACCACAATGGAAAGCACACCTGCCAGGGCCCAGAGTACCTGCAGGCCATGTACGCGCAGCAAGAGGCGGGCACATTGCCCCACATCTACGCCATAACGCCGACGTATGCGCGGCCAGCCCAAAAAGCGGAGTTGACCAGGTGAGCGTGGTCCCAAGAGGCCGAAAACTGCATTTCTAGCCTCTAACCACTGCCGATCTCCGTACAGACTGTCGCACCTGTTCATGCTGCTGCCAAACCTGCACTGGATCATTGTGGAGGATTCTAACAGTACCACGCCGCTGGTGCGCAGTCTGCTGCAGCGGGCGGGGCTTGAGAAGCGCTCCACGCAACTGAACATCAAGACGCCGCCCGAGTTCAAGCTGCAGGGTAAGGATCCCAACTGGATTAAGCCACGCGGAGTAGAGCAGCGCAACATGGCCTTAGCTTGGCTGCGCACCCACGTGGATGTAGATCGACATGCTATTGTATTCTTCATGGATGATGACAACTCCTATTCCACGGAGCTTTTCGCCGAGATGACTAAGATCAAGCCAGGCCACGTCGGCGTCTGGCCCGTTGGGCTGGTGGGAGGTCTCATGGTGGAACGGCCCATACTCAACGAGGACAAAACTCAGGTGGTGGGCTTCAACGCTGCATGGCAACCGAAGCGCCCCTTCCCCATCGACATGGCCGCTTTCGCCATCAGCATGGATCTATTCATTAAGAACCCGCAGGCCGTCTTCTCTTACGAGGTGCAGCGCGGCTACCAGGAGAGCGAAATCCTGCGACACCTCACCACGAGACAACAGCTCCAGCCGCTCGCCAACTCCTGTCGGGACGTGCTCGTCTGGCACACGCGCACCGAGAAGACGAAGCTCACCTCTGAGGATGCCCTTCAGCGCCAGGGAAAGCGCTCTGATTCTGGCATGGAGGTCTAGAGAAGATCTTGCCTCCCCGATTCGCCTGTACATACTTGTCACGCAACTGTTCCTCGTCCCATTACTTAATGCCTCAACTTAGTGAATTTACTGAACGTTTTTTTTGCCCAGAATGTATTAACAAGAGCTTTTCTTATCTGTATACTGGCAAGGTATTCCCAACTTTGCTATTGAACATAACATTGCATCAAACTGCAACACAAGCAAATCTGCGGCTACCTTGCTCGTCTGTATAATATTATAGTTGTAAAATGCTCAAATACAATTTGTAACATATGTATCTAAGATTCTGTAACCGTATTATATTCTGTTGTCGATATGTTATGGTATTTCCTTATAAGTATTTTAGAAGCTACAGGAGCTCACAATATACATATGTATACGAGATCAAGTGGCTTTTTCGCATATTTGGTCGGAAGGAAAGACGATAAATGCCGCTGATCGAGTTTCATTTTGTAAACATCAGCACACCAACCGCCAACATATAGTATTTCCGATACAGTTAAAATGAGAATAGGTCTGGTTTGATGGCTGGCTCGTATCGCTATACCTTTGGAATTTCAGATGCCATGCATATAGAATGGGTGGGTAGGCTAGGTGTTTCTGCGCAATACCCAATACTCATAGCTGCCTCTAGCTGAAGGCAAATAAAAGACTTTGATTTGGATTTATAGTACAGTAAATATGATTTATTTTCCCCCGTTTTAGATTTAGTGTACAATTTCTTTCAATTTTGCTTGGTTTGTTTGTTCGGGTTATATAAAAAGCTACACTCTGCTTTTCGCCGAAATGTTCGAGAAATTCGATCCTCTCCGCTCCGCTTCGTTCTTTTCACTTTGCATCATATTGCATATGCTGCACGTTCGGCATAAACTACAATAGTGGCCCATTCATTGAACGTGATCTGATCTGGGCTGGCCGTCGAGCTTGGTCGACTTGGCTGTATGCTTGGCTTGCAGGATTATTATTCGATAGGTTTGTATAATATTCTTGTATATTTATAGGTAAAAAGCTCTGACAAGGCAACATAAGCTACAAAAGCTCTTGGGCAACAAACAGAAGGGGGAGCGATCTCCCCTAAGGGATTGGGTCCTGGGTATTGGGGATTGGCGACATTGGATGCAAATGAAAACGCGCTGTCCATGGAATATACAATACATACATACATTCAGATTGGTGTGTTCGAGTATATAAATACGATTATACTGGGGTATGTACGAGTATGTAGTTTGTTTTTCTGTTTTTCTGTTTTTTTCTTTTGTTTATTTGTAGTTTTGTGTAGAAAAAAAACTTACTTACTGAGTAATTGTAAATACATGTACATATATATTCATAGGCTTTATATATCCATTAGATTAATGCATTTGCAGATCTCTATACTAGAATTTGTTTAGTTTTTACAATACATACGAAAATACTTTCAACATAAAACTGAGCGATTTTTGCATTTTGTTTGATGGAAGTGGGGATGAAAGATGAACGAAAGGTGAACGAACGAACATTCTTGTTTGGCAATCTCATAGTTCTCGTCGTTTCTCTACAACTTAGCATTAATTTAGTTTAGTTTTATTTAGGTTTTTCTTAGCATTTTCTTTGAACTGTCATTTCTCATATTTGTGTGTGTTTTTGTGGGATGCATGTGCAACTTGGAATACGCTTTCCAGTGCGCTGTACTCCCTAACACTGTTTCGTCAAGCAGTGCCAAACAGTTGCGGGCCGTCCTTTTCAAACATTCAAATTTCGTTTAACATCAATGTATATTGAGCATTTTGTTCATCCTTACGCATAGATTATACTTGTGGCTGTGGATTAAGTATAGTATATGAATTACCAATAGGAAACCAAGGAGTCCACATATTAACCAAATATTCAAGTCCTTATTCTTTTTGTTTTGTTTTTGTTTCTTCTAATGTCATGTTCTAGAAAGAAATGCTCGCAAGTCTTTTGTTCAGCGTTTTAAGTACTATGAAATGGTGGCTAGGTAGGATATGTGGGATAGGGTTTTGGGTGCGGGGAGTGGTAGTGGTAGTGGGGAAATGCAAACTTAATGTTACAACTTATTTATGGCATGTTTAAGTTAGTTATACTAAAGAAATTGTTCTTATCCCATGCTTCCGGCTTACTTTCATACATAGATCGTCACTTCTCGCTTTACCTGCTAAATAAATGTAATTTTTCTTTGTTTGTAAGGCATTAATTTAAGATTTCTCTCTTTGCATACACATATATATATCTTAGGCTAGGTTTTCATTATCTTTTTGTTTTGTTTAATTTTGGGTTTTCTTTCTTACTTTTTCTACTGTGTGGCTGGGGATGGGCCAGGGGCTGGGGAGAAACAAAGCAATACAAAATGCAGCGAATACAAATAAATACGAACTAGAAAATGAAGCAACACGGGGACACGTGAATGGGGGTATTGGGATATCCCTGTAATCCCATTGTTTTTTGTCGAGCTTAGAGTGCTATGTGTGTATGTGTATGTGTAGATGTAGATGTGTAGCATTGGATATCGTATTGTATTATAGTAAGACATTTAGTAAGAGTTACGCTGTGTACGAAAGTAAAGTAAAACCAACTCAGTTTTCCAATCAATCAATCAATCAATCATCATCATCGATGTTGTATCGATATTCCCGTTTGTTGTCCCCCAGCTGTGGCTTTGGCTTGTTCTCGTTTTAGACGACATTCATTTATACTCCACTATCGTTTGTGCACGCTGCGAGATGTTCGAGGGCTCTCCTCTTCGGCCCACTTACACCGCCGAGTTTTTGCCAATGATCTCCCCGCTTCGCGAGTGCACGAAACGGCCATCGAACTCGATGGTGGAGTTCTGTTTGATGCTGCCTGTGGGTGTGCGCAGCGGTTCCTTTTCATCTCTATAGAAGAAAAGAGCATTTTTTGATTAGTTTGGATATTAATGTTGTGTGGCTGTTGGATTAAAACGATCCGCCATGCAAAGGTTGTCTGGCTCGCAAGCCATCTACTCGTAAAAGCTGTGTGACTGTACCAAAACAAGCAGTGCACTTACCTTATAGAGCTATATAACTACAGTGGTATATAAAACTATATCAACTATAGAGTGGCGCATGCAGTGCTAATGAGCGAAGATGAATAGATTGATGTGGTCGATAGATATATTAGGTGGATAGATGATAGGTACACTAAGTAGGCAGTTAGGCAGGCAAGAAGGCGAGCACAGGCTCTCAACTCAAAGGAAAGATCAGAAGAAGATTCAGAGGCAGGATGCAAAGATTTATGGAGGAGGTGGTACGTACAATGGCGATGTCATGGGCGAGCCGCCCAGCTTTACTGGCGGCGGCAGTGGCAACGGTGACGGTGGCGGCTCCTTAACAAGCTGTCCACTGCAATAAGGTAGCGGAAAACGCCAACCGTAAAGACTGCTTGGTTAGATGGTAATTTGGTTGGTATTTGGTTTCGGTATTTGGTTGGTTGGTTGTTTGTAGGTTTGGTGGTTTTTGGATTGGTTTTTTAGTTGGATTTATTCGGATTTTTGTGTTGGATGAATGGATTGGAGTAATACATGATGATGTTCATTTAGTAGGAGAAGAGAGAGTACACATACAAATAGTAGATGATCTTAAATGAAATGATAACGATGATGGTTGTGTCGTGTGCGTATGTGTGTGTGTCTGTGTATGTGTATGTGTATGTGTGTTGATCAAAGACAAGTGGCGTTGGCAAATGAACAAACGAGAGGACAGTCTTGAGAAAGCAACTGACTGTACACAAAGAAGTTCCAGCTTGAAGCTCATCGGACATTTGACTACACATTGAATCACGCACAAGTCTTGTACTAAAACGAGGGGGAACGTTGTGAGTTGCTGCGGACACCGCAACTCTACGGTTATACCCGATACTAAGTCAGTATGGCCCTCCTCCGGCAGACGCCGATAATATTTAACGACACGACAAAGAGTGCGTGCGAGAGAGACAGAAAATCAGTCTGAGCGTGACGTCGGGCGCTGCGTAGCCAGTGCAAATTGATTTGCTCCTTTTGGCTATGAAAATGATCTGATCTGATCCAGATTCAGCAACCTGATAGATATGGTTATTATCTATGATTCTGCGTTTTTAGTTTTCTCAAATCTGCAATATTGTGGATGCAACAGATTTTCGTCCTTTGTGGGGGCGGATGGGGGTGGGGCGAAATTCTGAGATATACGTTTTATAGTGACATCTTAAAGGAGTGTGTGTACCAAATTTGGTTACTCTAGCCTTAATAGTCTCTGAGATTTGTGGTTGCCTCAGATTTTCGTCCTTTGCGGGGGCGGAAGGGGGTGTGGCGAAATTTGGACAGGAAACGGTCAAGGTCCGATATCACAGGAGTGTGGATACCAAATTTGGTTGCTCTGGCTTTTATAGGTTCTGAGATCCTTGAACTCATATTTTGCAATTGGCAAAACCGACCATGAAACCTGTGTGTTAGAGTGAGACAGAGCGAGAAAGAGTGAAATTGTTTTCGTGATTCTGGCTGTAATAATTATACGATCTGGTTCAGATTTTGCACTCTAGAAGATATAGTCATCTTCTACGATTCTGCGTTTTTAGTTTTCTCGTATCGTCAAAATTGTGGATGCCACAGATTTTCGCCCTTTGTGGGGGCGGAAGTGGGCGGGGCAAAGTTTTGAAATATTTTTGGAGCAGTGACATATCACAGAAGTCTGGATCCAAAACATCGTTGCTCTAGCTCTTATAGTCTTTGAGCATTAGGCGCTGAAGGGGACGGACAGACGGACAGACGGACGGACGGACAGACGGACAGACGGACAGACAGACATGGCTCAATCGACTCGGCTATTGATGCTGATCAAGAATATATATACTTTATGGGGTCGGAAACGATTCCTTCTGGACGTTACACACATCCACTTTTACCACAAATCTAATATACCCCAATACTCATTTTGAGTATCGGGTATAATTAGCCAACAACTGAGGAGATCTAAGCACTTGTCTGTGTGTAGTGTTTTCTTTGTTTTTTGTGTGGGGATAAGAGTGTATTTTTCTGAACTAAATGATTGGTGAGCGAGTGTGTGGCAAACTGAAAACTTTTGTATATTGCACTAAAAAACTGTATGACAAACGTAAGAGGTGAGCTTTGAATTTTAAATTTAATATTGAATTTTTAATTCGGTGCATTTTTTGGTTTAATTTTTGTGCCTGGTGCCGCACTCTCAGACGGATATCAGGGAATTGCGATTGAACAACAAGGATTTGGGACGCGCATAGACCCAATTGTACTCGAAGTCCGGTCGTTTGCAATTTCGGCTTTTGTTCGAAACGGATAAGATAAAAAACACAACGAAAAAACACAAGAGATTGATTTTAATTCGATTTTCGATTCGGTTTTTCGATTGTTAGTGCAATATTCGTTTCGTTTGTGGGAAGATGGTCTCGAGATCCAAACAAAAGTAGTACTACAAAAGTTGTCGAATATCGTTGATCGCCTTAGCGCTTACTTACCTTCCCAGCTTGGCCTCGTCATCGATCTCCGAGGGCGACCGCTTCGCCTTACGGCACATGGCCGCCATCACCCCCATGTGCACGGTTATGCAGCAGAGTAGGTCCACAATTAAGAGCAGCAGCAAGACACCGCCCACGGCAATGCCCACAATGGCCGCTGAGGAGAGCACCTGGCGTTCGGCCACTTGGATCACATCGATACCTGTTAAGTGTTGCAGTGCGTGGAAGGTGCACAGAGATGCAGGATGCGTTTGGTGGAGGTGAAGGTGGAAGGGATAATTGTACTTGATTAGTAAATTGTCATTTAAATATATGTATGTATGTAGAATAGCATAGGTCGTATATCGCATATATCTAAGTAGGTGGTACAGTACAGTGCACCCTGGCACCGAGAACTATCCTATGGGCAGATCCTCCATTTAAGTCTAGTCTTACACATAAAATGATAATGATCGCGTCTTATATTATTTTTGGCGGTTTTACTTTGGTTTATTTCCTCTGCTTGTTCTAAATTTTTTGGTATATGGTTAATGGTATTTTACATTTTTGTGTGTGTGTATTACTTGTTGGAAACCAAAAGAACGAAATTAGTCGAAACTTTAAAATAAAAATAAATATCGAAATAATAAACTTAATCGCAATGGAACCAAAGGATTAACAACCATACGAAAATCATACGGAAAATTCAAATTTCAGCACCAATTAACATGACATGAAAAGCAATTTCAAACAAAGCAACAAACTTATGGATACGAATTTTCATTTAGGCCCTATTTTTTCATGCAGCCTTCACAAGGAGGAGTTTTGGAGGGTGGGCAGGGGAGGGGCAGGGACTCAGCACAGAAGAATAGAAAAACAGAGACAGGAAAAAGATAGAGAGATAGAGAGAGAGAGAGAGAGTGTGAGAGAGAGAGAGAGAGAGAGAGAGAGAGAGAGAGAGTGAAAGAGCGCGTAAGTGATAGACTGAGATAAGCACAAAAATGAACAATTTTCAAACGAATTTTCAGTGATTTTTTTATTTTTACAATTGCAAAATACAGAAAAATGCCAATATGCAAAGTATACAAGCAGTGTAAAGCAGATTGAAATTATGATTTACAAATCGTTTTCGCTTACGTAATATCTGTATATATGTGTATATTTGTGTGGGTGTACAGGGGGGAACAATATTTGTTTGGTGTATAAAGCATATATGTTATAGTATATGGTTGGTATAACATCAACATTTTTATGCAGAAAATGATAAGCTTGATTCATTTGGTGTGTGTTTGAGAGTGCTGTCACGGTAACAGGGGTTTCGGTTTCAAAAGTAAAATATAGAATATAATTTTAATACAATATAAGAATTATTAAGAATCATTAATAAATTCCGGTTATTGACAGATCGATTTGGTGTGTTTTTGGGTTAATTTCGTGTGCATTGATAGAAATATGATATGTATAGTACATATATAAAAGGTACTATGATGATACTCGTACATATGGCTGGGGTTCTATTTCTGCAGTATTTTACCTTCCAAGCGGTGGGTGGGCTTTCCAAGCGGTGGGGTGGTGGTGTAATTCCCCGTTCCAAGTCATAGTCACACACTGCTTTCTTTTCAAGTATTTCTTTATTTACCCAAAAATGAACTGCTTAATTGTTAGGTATCGTTTCTTATTACACTGCTTACAAAATTCAAGACGCCCTATTCGGACTATGTGCGGGGGAGTGTGTGTCTGGTCTGTGTCCGTGCTTGGAAGCAATGGATAATGCACTGCTTATGCTCCCCGTACTGCTTGTACTGCTTGCAGTTAGCTTAGAACCAACAAAAAAAAAAACACTCGTCTTCTCAGCAACGTTAGGCGGGCTGAATTATTCTCTAGATGTACGTGTATATTGTATGTATATAGTATATAGTATAACTAGATATTGTAAAGATATAAGTTGCATTTTTTCTTTTCTTTTTTTTTTCTTTTCTTGGGTTTACGATATATTTGGCTAGAAAACATCCATTTTGCTTGCTAAAAAATGTTTTGCTTGTATACAGGAATATCTGTCCCTATAAATTGAACTGCGTCCTAGTTGGGTTCTTCACTATTATTTAAGTACTATTATGCTCGTATTATAGATTATTCATTTTCATGAACGAATTAACCGAGAGGCTTTTGCTTTGTTTTTCATAATTCAATTACACCATGTGATAAAAATTCGTAGTGGAGCACAAGCCCGAGTCCTAGCAGTGTGCACTGCTTAAACGATGTTTTAACTTAGTTACTTATTGTCCCCTCTTAACGGTTAACGCATACGCTCAAAAAACAAACAGAACATAAGCTGCTTGCAAATGCTTCGAAGCGGAAAAGCTTTTGGCTAAATGTAATTTCTTTTTCAATAAATTGTACTCGTATGCATTTAATAATTGGTTAATTTTTGCTTTGTTTTTGGTTGTAGAATTTCACTAAAATGTTGTCTACTTTATGTACTAATTTCGTACGCTTGGCAGTGTTGTAAAATTCACATGGAACTAAGCGGAACGGGTTTTTGGAATCGTAGTCGTAGTTTTAATCGGAAGAATTGTGGACTCATACATAAATATACTCGTACATACAGGTATTTCTGTGGTACATACTAACTAAATAACAACAAATCAACAGTGACTTAGTGATTAAAACAAAGTCTCTAGCGGTTAGACATCGGTTATAGTAGGATGTATACAAGAAGTACATCATCTTCATTATCAATACCGTTAATCGGTATTATGTATTCATATGATTCGATTTTGGCATTCCGTTTCATTGACTATTATTTCATTATTTTTGTTTTTGTTTTTGTACAGGTAATGGAATGGTGACCGTTGGTGACCCCACCATAGGTGATATTTTTCTTCATATTGATCATATTTTCTACTTGAGCACATTCAACATATAGTATGTATTTATTTCCGCATTTTCATGATATTTTAGTATATTTTGTTTAGTTGATAAATGTTATCTTTTCTTTTCTTCGGCTTATTATTTACACAATGGAGACGACACAAACATCTGGGAAAGACAGAGAGAAGGGGTCTTTTCGTTGAAGATTCCTCCGTGCACTGGTTTCTGATTGGTGGCTGTTCGCTTAAGCAGTCGTCGTCGGCAGCAGTAGCAAAAGCGCGCAAGCAGTGGAAAGCAGTAGAACCAGCGGTGGGGCAGCAACAGCAACAGCTTGTCCGCCTTTTTGCTTGCGGGGATGTGGATTGTCTAGATGAGAGTTTCGAGGTTTTCGTGGGTTTTTTCGGTTCGGGTTTGTTCAGTATTTCGAGGTATTTTGTTTCATTTTACAGGTTTTGTTTTGCGGGTTTTTAGCACCCACACAGCATAAAAGAGAGAAAAAACAAAGAAGAAAAAGTGGTAGAAGAAAAAAAGGAAGAAAAGGAAACACACAAAAAGAACATTTTTGTTGTTGGTTGGTCTTTTCTTTTTGAACATTACATTTTCGTTGTTATTTTTTATAGGCATTGTTTTAGTTTGATTTTAGTTTTTTGGTTACTTTTGGGTTATTGGGGCGACGATGACGACGAATGTGTGGTGGTGGGTGTGTGGGTTAGTCCGATGTGTTCCAGAAATCTCTAGAGACCACGACCAGAGTTTGTGGCTGATGTTAGTGCTCCTGAAATCTCGAGGATTCCAATTCAATTGAAATTTCGACAGCTAGGTTAAGGGCTGACCCACAGGTGGTTTCATTCTGCTGAATGAAGGCAGTTCCGTGAAATTCAAGCTATCCAGAAATTTGTAGACGCTCCATGATGAAATTTTAAATTGAAAAGGCTTTAAGAGTTTCACTTTTTAATAGCTTATCATGGGATTAATTACTCGTGCTATTTGTAGTCGTACGGTTTCAGCTTATAGATTAGAGGGGGGAGATTTCAGGAACACCCACAATTACACTTTGTTCTAGTGCTTTCGGTTCGAATAGAGGTCGCCAGAACACACCCGGTTTGAGTCTTCTACTATTAAGGATTAGTTGTTTGTTCTTGTTGTTTGTTGTTTGCTAGTTTAGTATGCGAGTGTTTCATGTGTGTGTTTGCTGGCTGTTTGGTTGGTTGTTTGTTTGTCTGGCCGGAGGGTTGGGCATTTTGTTCTTGACGTGTGTTAGTGGTTGTTTGGTTAAGAATATTAGCTATGACTAAGTTGTTACTTAAATGCAGACACTAAATTGGTTGTATTGAGTAAGAGAACATAGTGGGAGGAGGGATCAGATATTGGATGTAGCGGGGAGATAGGTTATAGGGATATAGTAGGACACAAGGTAGCGACAAAAACACACACAAAACACAAAGATACAAAGTGACAAACTAACAAATAGTATATGTACTAAGTAGACGATGATGAAGAAGGAGACAGCAAGACAGTCACAGCGAGAACGAGCGAGTACGAGCGAGCGAGCGAGTGAAAGTGAGACAAATAGAGAGACAACGCAGGCATGTATTTCGATAAGATACGATACGATATACATAACGATAACGATACGATACGATAATAAAAGAGAGAACGAACGAAATGTAGCATTGGCAGTAAATTACAGTTTGTTTGTTGGTTTTTCTTTGTTTTATTCAAGAAACTTTTGTTTTGTCGCTTATAATTGAAAAATTAACTAAAGAAATATAGAAATAGTAGACGCAGCATGTAGAATACACAAAAACACAATTAAAGTTCCAATCAAATGATAAAATTAAGTTAAAATAAAAATAAAATAAAATAAAACTGGTGATTCTAGTGGATCCGAAATCAAAACAAAATATAATAGGGCATAAGATTAAAGACTTTCGTTTACTACATTAATTGCTTTTTTTCTTTTTGTGTTTAAGAGCTAGATAGATGGTTTACATTTAACAGGGTATGTATGTATGTATATTCGTGGGGGTCACACATTATTCAAACAAAAAATATTACAACACACAAAAATATAAAATTATGAATTGATTTTTCACTTTAAAATTTTCTGTTATAAATTTGTTTAATGTTTAGTGTGTTTTTTTCATTCTTTTTTGGTAAATATAATTAAGTAAATACTTAAGAATTGTATTAAAAAAAAAGTATATGGAGAACATAATTAAGAATAATAATATTAAGGTATTTAGTGTTGATTTCGGGCTTGCGCGCATCTCTCATCATTTATTTCTATACAACTTCTGACATTTTGACTGATGCGCGCATGCACGCGCCGTATGAGACATGAATGTGGGGCATTGATGGGGGCTTTGATATTTGATTTGGCTTCTTCCATAATGTTTATCAACTGCGTTGCAGTACTTTTGCTGCTCAGTGTTTCAGTGTTTCAGTGTTTCAGTGTGTGTGTGTGTGTGTGTGTGTTTGTGGGTGGAATGTATAATATTACGGCCTACTGTTTATGGAAGTATTTACGGAGGAGAGTACGCTCTTCGTAGGATGCTCTAACGAAACGAAAGAAAACGAAAGGCGCATGCAAAACAAAAAAGATGTTTCGACAACAAAAGAACAAAGAAGATAGACAGAGAAAGAGAGCGAGAGAGAGTGACAGAGAGCGATGGATGATAAATGATAAACGATAATGCTATAATGATAAGAAACAAGAGACAGGAGACGTTCCTTACGACTGTCAGACTGATTGTGTGAAAGGAAAGCAAAAGATCATGAAACGCAAGTTGAAATAAACACTACAGAAATATCGATGTATGTATGCAAAAGTAATCGATAAACGATAGTTGATAGTAGTTATATCTGGGGGTATATCATATATATATTATATATAGCATATATTTAGAGCAGTAAAAATCGTGTGGTTTGTGTTTTCGATATATATCGATTGTATATATATTGTATATGTATTGGTTTTTTTTTGCTGGGATCTTGTAGATTATTCGAGAGGGCGGTTCTTAACCGATATGTATGCCTGATTCTGGGGCTCAAACAATGGGCCACGCAGTGGATATTTAGTACGCTTGTGTGGCCCACTGTCTCTCCCCTCCCAGTGTGAGTGTTGAGCGTGTCTATCGTGTATCGATCGATCGATTGCAGCGATTTTGCTTTTCTCTTTCGATGATATGAGCTTTTGGGCTTTAGACTAACATTGAGGCTAGGACACTAACTAATGTTACGCTTATGGTGGTGGCCAGCGCAATGATTGTGGTGGTGATTGTTGTCGTGATTGTCGATGTGGAGGCTCTTGTGGTGGTCGTGAACAGTTGTTTGTGTAGCGACCCGACGCCGGAGTTGAACCCGGCCGAATAAAGCAACGTGCCGAGATTATTGTTAGCGGAATCAGACTCACCTCGTGTCGTCTTCATGATGATCGATGCCGGCGACGAGTAGCCGATGGCATTGTGCGCCTTCAGCTCGATGCGGTAGTACGTGTTGCCATTGAGGTCAGTCATCTCATACGATGTGGTCTCGACAACGTTCACCGTATTGCAGCTGTTCTCCAGCTCGGTCCAAGCTCCACTGATCTTCATGCCCTGCAAAAATAGATGATCAGTCAGTGGATGATGCTCTAGATAGAGTGCCATATCCTCTTACCGGACAGTACTTGATCTGGTAGCGATCGATCGGCTCCCCATTGTCGGCGGGCACTCCCCAGCGCAGCTCAAAGTGATCCGAGTAGGGCGAGACGACGACGGGCTCCTCCTTGTCGTGCTGGACGGGATTGTGCAGGGGCTTGGGTTCCTCAGGTGCTGAGCGACGGGGCGTGGACTGCTTCTGGTTGACGCCCCAGTTGCCGAGACCCACCTGGTTCCTGGCCGCGAAACGGAAGCTGTACTCGGTCTGGGGACGCAGACCCTCGACAATGTACGGGGAATCGGGGGACCAGCTGCGGTTGTATGCCGTGGACCAGTCGGGATTGAGGGCCTCCTTGTACTGCACGCTGAAGGCCAGGATGGGCAGACCCAGTTCGGTGGGGGGGCCACGGATGTCAAAGGTTATGGTGGTGGCCGTCAACTGGCGCGGCACTGCCGCCGATACGAACTCCGGCACGCGGGCCTCCTTCAGCTGCATGTCGTGCTCGGCGGTGCCGTGAATATTGGTCGCAATGCACTTGTAGGCGGAGTAGTACTGTCGGGTCACGGGATGGACGATAAGGTCGCTGCGGGGTCCGGTGCCTACGATCTTGAGGTTCGTGTCGTACAGCTCCTTGATCTTGCGGCCATTCCAGTGCCATTCGATGGTGGCGTTCGGGATGCCCATGGCCAGGCAGCTGAGGTTCGCCTTGCGCTGGTCCCACGTGAACACCGGCGGCAGGTCCTTCATCTGGCTAAAGTCCGGCCCAAACTCTACCGTGATGTGTCCCGTCTTATAGGCATCGGCGCCCTTGTTCCTTGCAATGCACTGATACAGGCCGTCGTCCGTCCTCTCCGCGTTGGCGATGCGCAAGGTGCCAGAGCTCTCGCCGCGATCCTCGTCAAAGTATCGCTCCAAAACAATCCGCTCATCGTCGACCTGAACGCCGGGCGAGTACTCCTCCTGGGTGCCCCAACGGCGGAAGGTAATGGCCGGTGCGGGACGTCCCTTGGCCCGACAGGTAATGGCAATCTCCTTGGTCCTGCCGCCAGTCACGTTGTACAGCTCGTAGATGGCAGGGCGCACCAGCACATTCAGCTTGGTCTTCTGATCCACAACGCCAGCCTTGTTCTTGGCCAGACAGGTGTAGGTTCCGTAGTCGTCCTCCCGCACCGAATTGATTGTGACCAGGCCCGTCTGTGGGTTGACTTGGAAGCGATCGGCGGTGGCAACATTTAGCTGTGTGGCATCCCGGATCCAGCTGATCTCGGGCACTGGCTTCCCGGTCGCTGTGCAATTGGCAGCAAAGGGTTTTCCCTCGATGGCCTCCAGGGTTGGCGGCAGGTGGACAATTACCGGCTGGATGAAGACCTCCACGCGAATGGTACGCTCCAACAGCTCTCCCGTATCGATGACAGCCGCCCGGCACGTGTAGATACCCTCGTCCGTCTCCTGAACATCATGGATGAGCAGGCCATGGGTCTGCACCACATATTTGTCGCCAGTGCGGATCTGCAAAGGATCAAAGGATTAGTTATGATGTGGAAGTGGCTCTCCCTTTTACTTACCGGATCTCCGTTGCGTAGCCAGTCAATAGTCGGATTGGGATCAGCCTTCACCTCGCACATGACCACGTAATCTTGGCCCAATGTCGGATACTGATTTTCTGGGGCATTTGTCCAGGTAATGGCAACTGCAAAGAGGAATGAAAGGGGGGAACACTCGTTAGATCTTGAAGCAGAAGGAGAGACACAACGAGGCGTTCACGTACAAATTCCTGTGGAAAAGGTGTGCAAAAATTGTTTGATTTTCCCGACATTTACACAGCCAAAGAGCACACAGAGAGCTAACCATTCGACATAACGTGAGTCTTGGGACTAGGAAATACCCCCTAAATCTTCATGGGAAAGCAACAACAAACAAAGGATGAATGGTTTTTGTAACTATTCTCCTGCTTACAAAAATTACAGGCTATGCCACGAGTAAAGTTTATGATTTTAGCATTCGTAATGATTGTTCAAGCAATCAATCGATGATAAAACAATTAATAAGTGTACACTGTACATACATAGATGTATATCATTTATGTGGCTTTATCTATTGGTTCTTTTGGTCCTTAGAAGCACTTGTCGTTAAAGGTACGTGGTTTTCGTTTAAGGTTTATGTAGAGACTTGCTGTAATAATGGTCCCTTGCGTTTGCTTTTTATGTGTTAAGAGTAGCTGTCGTTTGACGTGTTTGTTTTTAGAATCTCTAATTAGAATCCGTAAAGTGTTATGTCTGCCACTGGTTCGGCTGGGAAGTTGGTTATTCAAACATTGACGTGAAGCCTTCTAGGCTAGACTGGTCCAGATTGTGGAACTCCCACTGGAGTGGCGATCCCACTCCCCTTTGGCCAGTTCCACCTACTAGCTCTAGCTCTGGTCCAATGTCAGGGTCTGCATTCATCAGTGCAAAATTGATTCCTGCTTTGAGTTCTTCCCGCATCAATCCAAAATGGTGCGGTCTCCGTCGCGGTCAGCGACGGCACTCGTTGCGAGAGAAGTGATAAAGTGATAGTAGAAGGACGTTTTCATTTGAGAGCGTTCGGTCCGATTCACGGCAAGAACTGGTTCCGATTAGTTCCTGTACATCTTCTACGATCCAGTCCGGTACCAGCCTTTCTGAGGTCTAACGTTTTCCGACACTCAGAGAGCTTCTTAGAGTCCCTCAAGATTAAGAGGTATGGAAAGTGCAAACAACCCAATCGGAGGATGTGGAGGAATTGGAGGTGACTGTACGTGGCGTATACGTAATATAATTCTAAACAAACTGTCAGGCACATAAAAGCAATCCAAGCGGCGTCCAGCGCCAAAGCCAAGACATGTGCGCGACAAATCCTCAAGCAGCAAAGCCACGCACGCCCGTTCCACTGCTGGCTGTAAGGGTCAGTAGTCTCGCCTCTAACGAGCTGCTGCTGGTCGACAAAGACTCGGACTTGGACAGGGACTTGTACTTGTGCTTGTACTTGCACTCAGACTTGGCATCGGTTTGTGATTCCTGGGGTCCTGCCAATAAATCTAAACTGCAGTAGCAGCAGTAGCAGCAGCAGCAGTAGCAGCAGCGAGAGATGACTTGGAAATTGAAAATGGGAGGAAAAACGAGCAAAAAGAAAAAGAAGGAATTGCAAAAAGCTGAAATTCCTAAATCAAATACTCGCCATACAATCCAAAGCACAAACACAAATAGTAGTAGACGCCACACAGCAGTGAGGCAGAGGCAGAGGCAGAAGCTGAGGCAGCAGTAGGGGGATGGGGAAGGGGGAGGTGGAGCGTCCAGAGTCGAGTCGGAGTTGGGGCGTGAAGCGGAAGATTTTTCTGGGGCCAAGAGCTGTTTAGTTTAATGCGGAGAAAAAAATAATCAGAGAGGGGCTCGGCGCGTCAACCTCAAAGGCAAAGCAGCACAATGTAAAAAGTACAGATGTACAGCTTCACAGGTACAGTTGTTTTCAAAGGCTGAGACAGATGAGAGTGAGTCCAGGGCCAAAAATGGGTCGCTGTTGCATTGGAATATAATTTTGCATTCAAAGCGGAAATTGTGGAAGTCCTTCTTCGTTTTCCACAGCCATCGCTTTCTGCTGTCCCTGTCCGGGCCCTTCGATTTCCAACACGTGTATGGTCCCCAAATATTTACAGTTTATTTATAAATCAGTGTAATAACAAGCCATCTCAATCTCTCTGCTCTGCCCTGTCTGTTTGTCTGTTTGTCTGTCCGTCTGTCTCTCTTTCTGGCACACTCTCTCTGTCTGCTGACTGTCAAGCACAAACATGCACAGACATGCACAGCGACATGCACGGACATGCACCCTTGGATGTCCGGCATTCAGTTTGGCCAGAGAAGGAGATAGAAAACGAGGGGGAACGTTGTGAGTTGCTGCGGACACCGCAACTCTAAGGTTATACCCGATACTAAGTCAGTATGGCTCTCCTCCGGCAGACGCCGCTAATATTTAACGACACGACAAAGAGTGCGTGCGAGAGAGACAGAAAATCAGTCTGAGCGTGACGTCGGGCGCTGCGTAGCCACTGCAAATTGATTTGTTCCTTTTGGCTATAAAAATGATCTGATCTGATCCAGATTCAGTAATCTAATAGATATGGTCATTATCTATGATTCTGCGTTTTTAGTTTTCTCAAATCTGCAATATTGTGGATGCAACAGATTTTCGTCCTTTGTGGGGGCGGATGGGGGTGGGGCGAAATTCTGAGATATACGTTTTATAGTGACATCTTAAAGGAGTGTGTGCACCAAATTTGGTTACTCTAGCCTTAATAGTCTCTGAGATTTGTGGTTGCCTCAGATTTTCGTCCTTTGTGATTGCGGAAGGGGGTGTGGCGAAATTTGGACAGGAAACGGTCAAGGTCCGATATCACAGGAGTGTGGATACCAAATTTGGTTGCTCTGGCTTTTATAGGTTCTGAGATCCTTGAACTCATATTTTGCAATTGGCAAAACCGACCATGAAACCTGTGTGTTAGAGTGAGACAGAGCGAGAAAGAGTGAAATTGTTTTCGTGATTCTGGCTGTAATAATTATACGATCTAGTTCAGATTTTGCACTCTAGAAGATATAGTCATCTTCTACGATTCTGCGTTTTTAGTTTTCTCGTATCGTCGAAATTGTGGATGCCACAGATTTTCGCCCTTTGTGGGGGCGGAAGTGGGCGGGGCAAAGTTTTGAAATATTTTTGGAGCAGTGACATATCACAGAAGTCTGGATCCAAAACATCGTTGCTCTAGCTCTTATAGTCTTTGAGCATTAGGCGCTGAAGGGGACGGACAGACGGACAGACGGACGGACGGACAGACGGACAGACAGACAGGGCTTAATCGACTCGGCTATTGATGCTGATCAAGAATATATATACTTTATAGGGTCGGAAACGATTCCTTCTGGACGTTACACACATCCACTTTTACCACAAATCTAATATACCCCAATACTCATTTTGAGTATCGGGTATAAAAAGCCAAAGCAGAAGCCAAAATAACGGAAAGTTGTGTTAAAAACATTTTCTATTTGCAATTTTTTATTGGCAGTGTCTGGGTCTACACAGCTCCTTATCCCTCACGGCATCCTTATCCCAGACAACTGCTTACAGAAAGAACAGCAGCAGCAACAACAGCAGCAGCAGGAGCGTATACTCGTCCTCGTATTCGTACTTGCAGAATAAATAACCAGAAGGAAGGAGCAAGCGCTGGTGAGCTGATACTTTGGATACCCTTGCTGGTGCATCGCAAAGATCTACTACCCAACTGAACGTGTGACTGAAGTGGGAGAAAAGTAGGAGAAAGACATGTAGCAATATAGCGGAAAATAGTGTCTAGCGTCATACTGCAGTTTACATCGGTTATAGAATAGGTACATATCTAAAGATTCATGCCAAGGAGAGGGCTATATATAGCGAGATATACATATGTATATAAATATATAAAGTGTCGCGCGTCATGCGGCAGCACTCCTTGGTTTAGTCAGAAATGCGCGCCAAAGAGAGTTTCTTCGAAAGAAGTTTCCTTGACGAATGCATAGATGTCCAGTAGACCCCAATAGAATTTCTCTTCCTGCATTCGTTATACCCTCTTCGAAAGAGGCTAACCAAAACTTTCTGCTGCTGTCACTTCACTTCTCTCCTTCTCGTTGTGTTCTTTACAGCTTCTCTCTTTTCCCTGCCTGCCGCATGCCTGCTGCACGATGCCGCCGCCTGCCGCATTGTCGTAGCGTGTGAGATTTTGTTGCTCAAACACTTTTCGCTGGTTCTGGCGTTCCACACACACACCCGCGCATATCCCCACCAGGAGTAGGAGAAAAGATGGACTAGTTTACGATTTCATTATTAGTTTGAACAAGGACACAAGCAAAAGCAGGAGGGCAGGAGAGCAGAGTCAGAGTTAGAGCTGGGTTCCTGGTGGCAGGATGGTCCCAAAGATGCCGTCGCGGCCACGGTCAAACATCAGACATCACAACATATTGAAAAAGTTGCAGCAGCAGCAACTTATTACAACAAAATACTACAGAAAAGAGAACAGTGCAACAGTGCAACAGAGTTGTGATGGTTGGGAAGAGGAGCTTTAGATTTGTGGCACTTAAAGATGACAGACGACAGCAGAACTAAGGCCTAAATATAGCTCTCTTCTACCAATTGTCGAATGATTGAAGCGCTTAAAGACTCATACAAATCATGACAACAAACATATTCTTTATATCAAATTAATCACGGAACATACTGCAATGCAACAGAGCCAAAAAACTATATGTACACAAACTCCTGAATAAACATCGGCCAGTAGGAAGGAAAGACACTTCAGAGTCGACATATAATTGAGATATACAGCAGGATGGACAGGAGGAAAATGCTGCACATTGTGCCAGCCATTTGTGCATTGAGGCATCCTTCGGTAGGTCCTAGAAGCACACAAAACTTTCTTCTTAATGTCTGCAATCAAGATGATTAGTGGCAATTACATTGACCGGTAATGCCAATACAATGCAATGGCCAAAGGATGCCGGCAATTATCGGTTTCGAGTATCGAAAGAGGTGTATAAATATTTAATTAATGCCTTGTCCGTACACACACTCTCTCTCTCTCTCTCTCTTTCTCTCTCTTTCTCTCTCTGAAATGCTCCTCTAATGCGCCTTGTTTGCCTTCACAAAAGGAATGCTAGTCAAGTGTCTGCAAGAATGGAATCTGAAGGCGCTACTGTTTCTGGTGTGCGTCTGCCTCTGGCGGAAGTTCTGTGCGTTTCGAAAAATATGCGTTTATGAAAAGCATAAATATTGAAATATTAAGCTGTGACTGTGCCACAAACAATGATATGTAAATATACCACTGCGTCTGTCCCTGGCTCCTATGCATGTTGGCTTTCATAGGAAAAGTAAATCTTGCAATTTGCCTACAGCTTAGCATTCAGCCACCTACGACGAGGAGGAGTACGAGAAGTAGCTCTTCGTGTCGTGTCCCTGGCTGCTTATTTGCTTAACTAAATGCAACTTCTGAGTTGTCAACACAATGCCAGTGTGGCAGTGCGGCAGTGCGGCAGTGGCAGTGGCAGTGGCAGTGGTTTTGGGGCTCCCTCTGATTCTGATTCCTCTTCATGTACTCGTATCTGGTGTTGATAACTAACTGCTGTTGGGTTTTGTATTTGAAAGCTGGTCCAGTCGGTTGCACGTTGCACGTTGAACGTTCAACGTTCAACGTTGAGCGTCGAAGGGTAGGACAGGAGACAGCAGGGGCTGATGGCTGGGGCTTACCACAGGCTTAACATGGAATATTCCAGCTCGGAAGTAGCAGCTCTTTAAAATGTGAACGACAGACGACACTACACTCAAAACACAAGGCGCACACACGCCTTGACCAAAAACAATTAAAAGTATGCAAAAACGGACCACTACTCATTGATTAAGACTTTAGTTATGGCTAGGGCACTGTACCACGGCTTGTTGCTGGCATTTTCCAACATTGGAACTGATCAAAACTAACAGACTAACAACTATTCTTCGACCAAGCCTTATGGTCGCCATAGACAGGGGCTGTACCAAGGCATTTCCTGGCCTTTTTCAACATTTCAAATTATCACATACCACCCATATCCTTCCTTTGACAACAGTAGATCAAACAGAATGACCCACACTGGTTGTGCAGTCGTTAGCATTCGTTAACCAACACTGATAGCAACCATAATAGCAGACTGGAACTGTACCATGGGCCCCGAAAGCTGATTCAAGCTATGGGAACGGATTTCGGAGCTTTTACAAATTTTACAGCGCTACCTGCACACCTCATTCTCTTGGGCTATACCACGTATTGTGTGCCTTGGCATTTGTCAACACTGGTGTCAATGGTGCCCACAGATATACCCCGTCATTCAACCAGAGGACAAACCCAAAATCAAACAAAAGGCCGTACTCGACTGCGACATCGAAGTGGAGAGTGTGAAGAGGGGAGATTGGGAAAAGTGTGGAAAGGAGGATGGTGGCAGGAATGGAGTGCCCATATCAGGCACAAATTGTTACGAAGCAAAATATTTGATTTCATTTCAAGCGCAGCAACAACCTGGTACTGGTCCGCAGCTCAATGTGAGGTTTGCCAGGAAATAACAGGACAGGACGTGGGGTTCGGCAGAGGCAGAGGCAGCGGCAGCAGTTCCTCACATATCACGAACAGACAAAGTGGTTCCACAGGAGCGGGGAGCCGTGGTTTGTACCGTGTGCAATGAGAACGAACTTTAAATTGCTTAGAAAAATCAATCTCGTAAAAGTTTTTCGAGCTGGAGCGCGCACGGTAGAGCACGGCAGTGCCGCCGTTTATGTGCACTCGACTATCCATTCCGTTCTTCCCAAAAGGGGGATTCTATGGCTCGCTCTGGAAGAAGGTGTGTGCGTGTCGTGTCCTGCTTATGGGGAGACGTGTTGTTGCCTTCTTTTCTGGGTGTGTGTGTGTGTGCGTGTGTCTGTGAGGATGGCTGCTCGATTGCTTTGTGCTGGACGCATCCATTTTGTTTTATACATGTCTGTTGCACTCCTCTCCCTCTCTTCTATCTTGTAATGAAATCCAAGCGAAACTGTAATTTCTTACTGCTGGCAATGCCGCAATTGCTCCGCACTGCACTGCACTGGACTGCACACTGTACTTCAAAGTGGCTGCTCTAGCTGGAACCGTGTGCTGGGGACACAAATTGCTAACAAGATAAATGAATCGTGTGGCAGGCACTGAGGAGGAATCACGTTGAACGGCGATTACTCTCAGTTCCAGTAACCAGGCGGGTTCGCCAATCAAAATGGTGACAAGTCAAGCATGACAACAGCCAGTAGCAAAGTAATGACAAAGTTCTTTCACGCCGGGGACTACTAAGCGCCGTTCTTCAATCAGATATTAGCGGAGGTCAAGGAAAAGTATTTGCTACTTTATTAAACGTTTCCATTGGGCGATCACAGATTATAATATATTAAAATAGATGTCCCTTATTGGTGTGTATAGAAATACTATTACATGTGTCATGCGGCAGTGCACATCGGTCGGGTTCTACCTGGGATCCTGGGGTTCTCGATGGCAGCAGACAGTTTTTCGTTTTGATCCAGTATCCAGATAAATGCTGTCATTTACAGTCAGCTACGAGTTGCTACGATCAGTGTTGGTCAGAGATTTCGTCACATTATTCTTCAAAGATTCTGCTCTTGAAATCTTCCTCTAAACTGTACTTATTCTGACAGACTCTGCTGCTCTTTGTTCTCTGTTCCAGTGTTGAGAAATGCAAGGAGCATTTCATGGTACAGTCCCGTTCCATAGCTGCGATCAGTGCTTGACAGAGAAAGCTATGCTCTTTTTCTTTTAAGACTCTTCCTCACACTACTGTACTTCCCCTGACAGCCTCAGGCTGCTCATTGATTGAAATTGAAAATTACATTTGACTGAAGTACAGTACCGCCCTACAGTACAGTACAGTACCACCATTCAAAATACTTACCATTAAAACGGAACAGCAACAAAAAAACACAAAGGACAATAACACTCATAGTAATGATAATGATAACGATAACGATAATGATAATGATAATGAGAAAGCGAATGCGAATCATCATTATCGTTTGCTTGAGAGAAGAGAGGTATTCCGTGTGGAAGGGAGAAAAGAAGAAGGAAGGAAAGCGAAGAGAAGAGAACAGAAGAGAAGAGAAGAAGGACTCACCATAAGTTGTAATTGTGACGCTCGTCTCGAGAATTTCTGTATTTGCATAGGACGCAGTGCAGTAGTACTTGCCGCCCATCTCCACCGTCAGCGAGGAAATCATCAAAGCGAGGCTCTCGCCGGGCAGCGTCTCCGTGTACATCGGTGGCTGGTTCCGTCCCGTTCTGTGGATAGGTGGATGGGGGAGAAACGGATGAGCTTTTTTTTGGGGATCTTACATTTCAGAGTGTATTAGTAACAGAACAATATGCACTTTAAATGGTAGAAGAGCACGAGTATAAGTATATGCTTAAGGTGGGGGGAACAAAATTATTATTTTTATGCACAATGATTATAACGATTGCTGTGTGGCTGTGGGGCTGTGGGGCTGGATGACTGCGTGTTAGTTCTCCTTTCTTCTCAATTTGCATGCCTTTTCCCCACACAAATGTGCTACGCATTTTTTCCATTTCCCGTTACCCGTTCCACGTTTCCCTTTTTCGCCATACGAATGTAAATATGTATATTTTCTCGCATTTTCCACCAAATTTGCCAGCTAAATGGGAAAATTCCGTTGGCTTTTCATTGTGTTTGTGTGTGTGTGTGTGAGTGTGTGTGTGTGTGTATGCCGCAAGCATGAGGTCACCGGCACTCGGGGACTCGTGGCTTTTCGCTCTGCTTTTCTGTGTGTGTGCATGGCACGGAACTCCTTTGTTGCAAGCATCAGGCAATAGTATAATCCAAGTAATTGGGTGATTCTGGTTTTTTCAGTCTATGCATTTCTATTATTCCGAATTCAATTATATTTCTCTTTTAATGGCATAACCGCTTCCCAACTGTTCCGATACCGCTTAACGATTATTGTTTCGAATCTATCCAAAAATCAAAGGAAAGTTATCGACCGGGTCTATGATCCTGTTGGAGCTTTCGCTCCTGACAGCTTTACAAGCATGTCGGAAATCCTTTTCATAGCCGATTCTGCGAGTTAAATTTTGATGGCTTTATAAAACTGGAAACTTTGCCAGGACTGCTGGCCATGTGGAAAATTTCACGCCTCTGCCTTTCATTTCCATGCGATTTGTGCACGAATTTGTGTACAGTAAATCGCACAAAGCCAACAAATTATGGCAGAAACGAACATGGAGCATGGAGCATGGAACATGGAACATGGAACGAACCCCCGACTCTCTCGAACTGCTCTTGGTGCCTGCCCATTGAGCAGCTCACGTACTAATTAATTAAAAAAGTTTCCATGGGGCTCCCCCGAAACTAAATATGCATAGAGGAAGAGTAGAAAGGCAGAGGGAGAGGGAGCCGTTATTATTATGATTATTATGAGAGTGGGCAAAACAAAAACGAGAACTGAAACGGAAACGGAAATGAACGCAACGATAGCAAATGTACACAGCAGCAGCAGCAGCAGCAGAAATAAGAAGTAGAAGGAATAGGAAGGCTAGGCATTGAAATGGACGATACCCTTGGAGAAACAAAATTTTGCAGATGATAAAGTTATCCCCAAACAGCCCTAATCGCGGATAGAATAACAGAAGAATCACCACAGAAGAGGCGCCTTATGCAGTGGCGCCCATCGCTGTAGAAAGATCTTCCATTAGAGGTCCATGCTTTTGCAGCTAAAGAAGCGATCTTAGCGATCGACCATTGTTGAACAGGCATCGTATGCCGTAGTCCTAAGGATCGATACTAATCGAGACTGGTGGCTGCCTGGGTTTAAATGTGTTTTGTGTTATGCGGAAGCGCCCATCGGTCATTGTTTGGAAACCTCTGGAGGTGGCAGTGCATTGCAATGTGATCATAAATAATTCCTGCTTGAGTCCTTCATCCAGGGTATGAAAAAGACAGAAGGATTCGGCCTCCAGATGAAGCAGAGATTTCGAAAATAACTTTCCGACTTGAGAGGGGTACAGGCGGCAGAATGCAGAAGGCAGGGGAAAGCCTGTAGGAGGAAGTGTACATATTGCGAATGGATTGCAATCCATGGAATAAACGTAAAGTCAACGCACGTTCCTCCGCCTCGCACCGCCTCCGCCAAAATATCCTTCCATCCAGTCGCCCGTCCCTTTGCGGATTTCAATTTTTTGACAGTCGTCGTCATCATCAACATCAGCCTCCTGCCAGCCTCTGCCCCGTGCCACCCCCTTCTTCAGCTTTTCCTTCTACTATTTTTCCCTCTACTTTTGTTTTTACGAATGTAATTGGTTTTATATATTGAACGAATACATTTTTGTGTTTGTTTGCATTTGTGTGTATGTGTGTGTGCGGGGGAGTACGGGTACGGCTACGGCTACGGCACTGGAATATGGTATCCGGAATGCCGAGTGGAATATACGGAGTGGAGGCACAACCTGCGTTCGATTTGCGTTTCGCCCAATTGTTGCCAGAAAAATTCCGACCAAAAAAATACGTATGGCATGCGGCGTATTTGTTTGCCTTACAAACACACCCACACACACACACACACACAATCGTGCAAACACAGAGGCACAGATGTGCGTGTGCGGTGCATAGAAAACGTCGGCGTTGCCTGCGCCCCGAAAATTATGCTAACAAAAGTTGTCGGAGAGCCAACAACTGGTTTGACTCCGAATGGAGTCTCGACGGAGGGATACCCTGTACTTAGAATGCGCTCCTCCTCTTTCTGCAAAAAGAAAGCCCAAAGGAAGGTACCTCAAATATGTATCACGCGTTGTCCAGTGCCGCCCATCGGTCGATTAGGCTAAAAAACTCAAAATTTATAGTATTTTCGACGGCTTTAGCTCATGAGAGTCCACTAAAACCAGTTTCTCCACCCACTCGCCTCAGCAATCTGCACTATTTTTCGATCCCTTGCAAAAGCATTTTCTTCGCTGACAGGGTATCAGCGTGCACTGGGAAAAAACGCAGCGACAGCGTTGGCGATAAGAAAGGGGCGGAGATGGGGAGTGGGGGAGTGGTTGGAAATGCGGTTCGAAGCGGAAGAAGACATTGTGCAGAAAAAATTTCGCTGCATATTTGCGTTCGGATTTTTAATATTGCGCCAAGCAGTGCACACACATAAACACAACACACACACACACACAAACAAAAGAGAAGGGCAAAAAAAGAACCGCAACAAGAACAACCAACAAAATAAGAGAGAGAGTGAGACAGGGACAGGGACAGAGGCAGAGGCAGAGGCAGAGTGGGAAAGAGACGTTACGCATACGTGAAAATAAAAAACTTTCCTTTCTTTATTTTGCTTGTGCTTGATTGTCTCTTGGGTACATCATTGTGGTTGTCTCTGTCACACAAGCATCATGCCTCTCGCTCGCACACACCATCTCCCTCCCTCTTTTTATAAAATCCTATTGGCGCCTCGGGGACTCTCCTTTTTTTATTGCATTTCTTTTGGCCGTTAGATGCGCATCAAGATGGCGCTTTTGTCGTTGTTTCGACTGCGATTGTCGCTGTTATTGAATCCTGGAATGAGCCACCAGGGAGCAGCAGCCGTGATTCAAGGAGCCGCGAGTCTGCTGCAGGGATTTCCCTGCATTCATAGTAACATACTCCTGCATCTGCCACAATCTTCGACATTTATCTGTCGTCTGCTATGCCCTCTGTTCTGCTGACACGGACAACGGCTTCCACACGCTCACAATCCACAGAGCGATCTTGCAATCAACAGATCAGCTGTCTCTCCTCTGCTGAAGTCTGTCTTATCCCAAGGGAATGCCCTAGCAGGGATCCACCTCTTAATCTTTTGGGAGGGACTCTGCCTAGTCCAGTTTCACCGAAATCTAATCCAAACTAATGAATCTCCACTTCACTCCCACCAACCTTCATAATGCATGCCACTCCACAAATTACTGGCACAATTCAAAGCCCTGATCTACTGCCATGCTTGCAGCTGGAGGCAAGCCCCCAAATGCCAGTCCCCACAAAGCAGCAGCGGCGGCGGCGGCGGCAAAAAGCCCCCAAAAATGCGGACAATGCACGGCCGCAGAACTATGCCGAACTTAATCGTTTTAATTAACTCGAGGAGGGGGCAAAAACAACGCCTCTGACGCACCCCCTTCTGTCGAAACCCCGTTGGGTTTTTGGCAGCTTAATTACATTTCGCGCCTGCAAATATGCAATGCAGAAAACGGTGCGCACTGTCCAGAGTGGGTGTGGGTGTGGAAGTGTGTGGGGCGTGGCGCCTCCCCCAAAAAAACAGTCAGCGAGAAGCCCAAACCAAAAAACAAAAGAAGGAAAGTATGTGCAGCACTGGAAAGGGGCCATATCCTGGGAATCACGAAATCAGCGAAAGTATCGCTCAAGCAAGGGTTGCTTTTGTGTACCGACTTTGATCGGAACTAAAGTGGGTTACTGATCGAAATATACGACATTTCATTCCGTTTCTTGGAAGCCCAAGAAACTTATCCCTGAGGTATGTTCTACGATAATGAAAAGAGAAGAACCATGGCTTCAACGATTATCGGATTGCCGATAGTTTTCGATAAATTCTGGAAATATGCGTCACTTGAAGCCAGAAAAAGTTATCTATGAGAAAGAACTTTACTTATATTTCTGACTCTACCAAAATAAAAGCGTATCCCAAATGGAGAGAGCACATATCGCCTCCACAGAGCACATATCATCTGCAGGACCCAGGGATATGCATAGCGAGAGAGATGGTGTCCCTGGTGTCTGGTTTTTGGCCATCGAAGTCAACGCGCGAGTGCGTGTGTCTGATGCCTGATGGGATGTGATGTGGATGCCAGAATTTCCAGCATAATTTCCATCCAGCAAGCGATAATTAAAGCTAAGCAAATAAAGAAATACCCACACACACAGCAAATAGTGGCACTCGCAGAACCCTAAAAATGCTGTTGACCAGCTGGAAATATGAGCAAAAAATAATACAAAATGTTTTTTGGGCCAAAGCCAAACATGAAAATTTGCACTCGCCCAAGTTTTGCTTCTCCTTCCCTGAACCCCTGAGCCTCTAAAGCTCTGAACCTCTGAAGAGGAAAACGAGGTTAATTGGCACGCAATCGAGGGGTGGTTGCCCCCTCGGGGGTTCACCCTTTTTCAAGCGGGGAAAGAAGGGACTGAGAGCTAAGCATTGGCCGGGTCCGGTGTCGAGCCCGCCTCCCACCGCCCCACCTCCCCATTTCGGGGTCAGTCGGCAGGCAAATTAATTAACACGATTTCGCTTTTCACACGCACACCTCCCATCACTCGTTCTTTGCAAGTCCGGATCTGAATATATTGCCCAAGAATTCCCGTTCGCATTTTCCACCGCAGTTTCCTCTTGCGCATTTCCCTTGGCTTCTGTCTGATATGTTTCCCAGGAGCCTAGAAAAAAGAAAAGCTTTCACTCGGATTCCTTGATTGATTTCGCCAGCGAATGCAATTTTACGTAATTTCTTTTGGGGCAATGTTGGGATTTTTTGCAATTGGAAGATTGGAAGTTTTTTCGCTCGGACACTGACGGAAGCAGCTCCAAGCCTTAGTTCTCTTTGTGATGACTGTACCTGTAGTAGGATAGACAGGTGTGTGAAGATATCACTTGATGTTCGTCCACTTCATCAGCGGATTTCTCCTTTCTGTGACGCCCACAACTGTACATTCAGGCAGAAATCGAATTCTGGCAAATCTCATTCCATACACACTTTCTTCTGTACTTTCTTCTGCCAGAACTCACTCTCAAATTCAGGCTCTAATGTCTGCTCGACTTTCCGCAGGGTATCTCCATCTATAAGATTGATTTGTCACACAGTTCTTAAACGTAAGTGGATGAGGGGGGTTAGTACAACAGCTAATTGAATGGAATTGCATGAGGAGAGCAAACCATCGCTGATGGCAAAGGATATGAGGCGGGGGATTGATGTGTGTGTGTGTGTGTGTGTGTGTGTGGCAAAGGTCGGATGTCAAATGGCCACGGAAAATGCATTTCTCTCCGTATTACAAAATGAGTTAACAACAAATGAAATCAAATCAAATCAAAGTTAAACAATTAATCATGCCACAAAAAATAAGAACATCAACAAGAGAGCAGGAGCGGGTCTACGAGGGGGAAGACTTCGGAAGAAGACACCGAAGATGCCGTCCAAAATACCCTTGCAGAATCAAAAATGCTCTAGACTGGAGAGGAATCCTCAGAGAACGGCCTTCCGATGGAAGGATACATGCATTCGACTACAATCTTGGGTGTGTACTGTACTCTTTGAAGCCTTATTTGCTCATTTTTCATTCTGCCAGGGTATGGGACTTGAGAGGTTTGGGTTCTCTGTTCATTTCTTCGAGCCTCTCTCTGGTTACTGCGAAGTTTTTATTCTTGCAATTACTCTGAATACTGAATACTGAATACTGGTTGCAGTTACTGTTACTGTTACTGTTACTGGGGAGGTTACTTTTAACAGTCTCTGTGGCACTGTTTACTATGAAATGTTGTTGCATGTCGCGACTTTCACTTACGCTTTCCTTCTATTCCCCTTGGAATCGTACAGTGGATCATAATTGGGCCTACAATACAATACGGGGTATATGGTATACGGATATATCAGTGTTTGGATTTAGGAGCACTCTGCACTTGAATGCACCCAAAAAGAGCGTACCAAGATTAAGCCAAGGGAATGGCGGCGAATGATAATCCACCTATGATCTAGGCATGGATTCATTTCTATTTCTATTTTCTGGAAGAACCGAGTATTCATTCCATTGGCCTCTGGTTTTGCGTGCATTCCTGCAGGTTTCTACTGGGAAAAGTGTCCGTGGTGGGTGGTGGGTGGTGGGCGTTGGGGTGTACAGAAAACACCAAATAAAGAAACCACACACCAATGTACACATGTGTCAGTCGGGCTGCGATGATTGGTCTGTTTGTTTCGGTGGCTTTCACACTTACGGCTTGGGCAGAATGGTGTTGTTCATGTTGTCCTTCCACTGCAGATCGGCTACCAGGGCTGGCTCCGGCACTGTCGGTCGGCAGGTGAGGATCAGGGACTTGCCCACCGGCTTGCGCTGGACCTCCTGCATCGGAAGGATCTCTAGACTGGGCACCAGATCCGCGTGGCTCAGCTCTGCGAATAGAGGAGAAGAGAACAAGAGAAGGGGAGAGTGTTAAAGTGTGCGTTAAAGGGACTGTAAAATGGTTGGTGGCCTTTGTTTTTCTTCTACGCGAGTGTCTGCTCCATCGCTGTGGCCTTTTTTTCCACAGCTCATTTGCACAGGCGAGTAAATTTAAATTAATTTTAATTGCCTCGCTGCCGCGAACAAAGGCGGGGGGCAGAGCGGCGGTGCGCCACAGTGGTGGGGGGGAGACTGACTGTTGGACCTTTGTAATTTTCGCCTCCGCTCATTATGCCCATGTGTGGCTGTGCATCTGTGTGAGTGTCAATTAAATGAAAAGCAAATTTCAATCGAAATTTCTATTGAAATTTAAGCGACATTTTTGCTGAGAAATTTTTTTTGCTAGCGAAAATTCAATGGAAATTTCCATTGAAACGAATATTATAAAAAAGCTCTTGGGCAATACCATTTTCCTCTCTGAAAACCTTACCTAAGTCGTTAAAGGATCTAAATCCTTATCTACCGGTATCTAAGATACTTCGATTTGTGGCCTTTCCCTTCAGTTTTCCATATCATCAGTCTATCGTTGATTGTATCAATCATGAATCACGTCTCCTACAGATTTTCCCTTCCCGTAGATATTCTCTTCTCCTCTTTCTTGAGAGCATTCCTCTCTCCTTCGGGGACCTACACAGCTTTTGTCGAGCTACTCACAAAAGTTTCTCCAGCACCAGCCCCAGCCCCAGCCCCAGCTCCATCCTCCTCGCAGCTGAAAAGTTGGCCATTGTTCATCTAGCTAATTACCGACAATTAAACGCTCATGAAACCCCTTTGTAACGGGGTCACACAATGGCCAAAAAGACAGGGAGAGTGGCAGGGGCTACAGCCGCTCCTTAAACTTAAATCCACTGCAAAAGTTTGAGCCCCCGTCTCCTGCAACATTTTCCTTTTCATTTTCATTTTCATTACAATTAAAAGCCTTTTGGCCATTTTCTTTGACATTTTATTGGACACTCTCTCAGTTGACTTGGCAGAAAGGCAGCAGGCGGCAGGCAGGCGGCAGGCAGGCAGTAGAAAGAAAGGCAGGAGGGCAGACAAGAGCTTGGCTTAGTCCTTGGCCAAGTTCAAGTTAAGCGGCGAAGAAGAACCTTAATGGCCAATGTCCGCACATTTGTTCAGCATTTTTATGGTTCGGTCAACATTTGGCCAGAGCTTAAAGTGTAGGGCTGCCCAGGGGTGGGCTTTCCGGGGCGTGACCACCAGCGCCCCGCCGGCTGGGATCAGGCTTTCCCTTCGATGGAGCAGCCGTGCTCTCGTGGCTTGTGCATTGCGATGGGTATATTGGACTTTGCCCGACACCATGACGGCTTTAGAATGGAGTCGTTATCTGGTGTTCTGGCTTCATCCTCTTTGCCCAGTATCTACTTCTGTGATCCTGTGTCCCCAGGATTTTTTCACACATAAATTAGTTTCAAGATCCCTTTTCTCGGAGTCCCAGGTATCCTGCGGTCGTTTCTGCTCGTTTGTTTTCAAGGTTTTTTTTGGTTTTTTGTTGTTTTTTTTGTTTTGTTTGTCAAGCCGCAAGTGCCGCAGCGCACAGTCGAGTGCATAAATAATTTAATGTAAACGATGCCACACACACACACATCTGAGTGGTGGGGCGGGGGGCTGCGTAGTAAACAAATACCAGTGGGAATGGGAGTGGGTGTGGGTGTGGCAGAGGGGCTGCATGCCACAGAGAGTGCATTAAACTGGCCCCCGGGCTTCAGACCCCTACACCCACGGCTGGCTCCTCCATCTCCGTCTATGGCTATCATCTGCCGCGGCTCGGGCGAAATTAAATATGAGAAATTTATGCGACGTTGCTATTTTGCATTGCAATTAATGCAAGGCAACAAAATGGCGCGCTCTCACCCCCACCCCCACCCCCAGGCGGGAGCCCGAAAAAAACGTGGGAATAATGCGCGCAATAAAAAAGCACCCCCCCGCCCCGCCACACAAACAAGGCGGGGCAACTGGCAAATGCTCTTCTTCGAAAGCGAAGATGGAATCTATTCAGAAAAGACGCGGCCTTTGAGGTGTGTTCCCCGGGGGACACCGAAACGCGTGTGTCCTTCATTTTGCTCACTTCGGAATGTTCCTTCACGCTGTTTGCTTGTCGATTAAACACATTTCCAGTCGATTATTTATCGAATGTTTAAGCGCGTGTCAAGGCCGACGCATCTGGTGTCTCAGTATCGAATAGGAATCACCTTTACGATCACTTCTTGCTCACTTTTTCCCCCTTTATCTTTGTAGCCATTACTCGTTCTCTCTCTCTGTCTCTGTCTCTGCCTTTCTTTCGCCATTACTCTTCCTCACTCTCTCTATTGCCATTACTCTTCCTGTCCGTCTTTATCTGTCGTTCGCCTCGCATTCTCTTTCTTCTGAAAAATGAAAGGGCATTCAGCGGCGCGCTGGCTCTTCTCTGGCGGTGCTGGCGCCTTATGCTTAATTTATATTTATTTTATTTTAAATGCATGTTGCATAAATAAAGGCACTGGCGCACACACGCACAGACGCGCACACACACATGTGCACACATTATCTTTCTACCTCTTTTGAGCTCATCCTTCGTCCCCCTCCCCTGCCCACCTCTCTCTCCCTCCCTCTCTTTTCCTGGACCCCCGAGGACTGTTTTGTGCGGGTGTGTTCGTGTGTGTTCGTGTGTGCGTGCTGCTCTTCCGGACGCCGCATAAATAAACAAGCGGTTAAGAATTATCGCGAGGCTCAGAGGAACGCTCAAAAGAGAGCAGAGAAAAGAGAGACCGCGCACTACACGATAACCACTGGAGCTATTTTTCACCGTCGCGACGGTAAACTTTGACATTCGCAGTGGAAACCGTGAGAACAGAGAAAACGGAGAGAGGGCCGCCTTTGAGCCGGGCTCTGGAGAACGGCGAGATGCGTGAAAGATCAGGGACTTAGCTTCTTCGGAGATCTTTCAAAGCCAAAGGCAAACACTGCCCCGAAACACTGCCACCACTGCAGTGGTGCACTGGTGCAACAGTGCACTGTTCCATTGGCATCCTTTTTGCGCATCGGTGAAACACCGATTACTGCCGACCATTATCAAACGATGGCGCGACGGTGAAGAAGCTGTCGTCGCGTGTGTGTGTGTGTGTGTGTGTGTGTGGGTGTGGGCCAACTGCTGGTCATATTCTTTCCCTGAGCATCCCACTGCAATTAATTCATGGCGCGCACAGAAAATATTGTTGAAAAACAATTAAAAACTGCACATTAAAAGGCCAATGGCTGGAAAAATTAACACTCTCTTCCCAGCCCTTACCCACTTTTAAAGCTTTAAATGCAGCAAGTGCCTTTTATTTTCCCGCCTTTTCCTGCGTTTATTGCCAGAGACAGGCAGAGGGAGGGCGAGTGAGAGAAGGAGCGAGCCGCGGCAAAAGTTAAAATTAATATTTGTTTGCTTAAAAGTTGGGTAGCTCTTTCGTTTCGTTTCGTTTCGTTTGGTTGGTTTTTTTTTTGCTTTGGCCAGACCAAAAAATTGTTGATTTATGTAATCCCAGGCACGCCCACGGCCATGGCCACGCCCTACCACCCACCCTCTTCTACCCGCCCGAAAAGTTAGTTTTTGAATTATGACTGCAAAATAGTTCCCGCTCCGGCGACAAAAAAAAAACAAAAAACAGCTTACGCTTACGGGCAAATATTGTCCAGCCTCCCTCTGCCACTTCCTCTCTCTCCCCCCCATCCGAGCGTGGGGCGTGCACAAGTGGCGTGTGCCCCAAGACCTGAGCCGCGTCCAAAAATAGACTTCAATCGCATATCGAGAGCAGCCTAAATTTACTCTCAAGAGAGAACCAGAGAAACACGACGAAGTGAGAGATCAAAGGGAACGCTTGAGAGAGGTCTGCCAGACTGAAAGGAGATCAATACTTGTGGCGCTACACTGCAAGGAATCCTGTAGTAGCTTCTAGTGCCTAAAGAGGCGGCAGGAAGCACTCGAAGGAGAGTCGCACAGGGCACAGATGGTGGGGGTCTGTGGATCCACAAATCAAACCACCATCAGAGATAAATGATACTGAATGCTGCTCCAATCAATAAGGATTCAATAACCAACCCCGTCTCACTTGCTTAAGCAACAACAAGAATACCCTCGATGGACTGCGATTTATCGGGAACTAACGTACAGAAGATATTATGTCTCAAATGTGGCTCTCTGCTGTAGTACTGACTAAATTTAACAACATTACACGGCTGACAACAGTTTCTACGGTCTACGAGTATTTAGATATGTTTTCCGAACTCCAGAAAAGGGCAGTGTTGCATAACAACTCAATCGCCAGTGCTGGAAAGCGCGTGACCATTGCGGGGCAGTGTGCGCCAATTCAAATACCTATTGATGGATGGATTTGTTTCAGTGCACTCCTCCCTCTCTGAGGCTTACCTTGAGGCAGAGGTGGGTGGGTGTGTGGGGGCGGGTGGCCATTCAAGGCCAAATTTATTTGCACAATAACAACATAAAAGGGGCACGGCCTCCCGCTGTACCCCGCTGTACCCCTCTGTAGCCTATATGTGCGGCATATTTGATGGCATTACCGTTAGGCATGCATATATCTCTACCCCACTCCCTCTTTCCTGCTCTGCAGACAGACCTCTCCCTGATTCTTGCGCGCTCTCTAGCCCTCCTATCCACTGTTTGCACTCGTTATAATATTTTCCCGTTATGTTGGCTTTTCCTTCCTTCCCGCTCTCGGTCTCCCTCTCTCTTGCGCTTTTGTTTCGCTCCTTCTTTCGGCTTCGACTGCCGCGTCTGTGCTGACATGTTGCATACTTTTGTGCGACGTCGGCGACAGGAAACTGGAACAGCCGCCGCCTCAAGTGGTTGCCCCACCACCCGCACCCACGCCCGCACCCACACCTCCGTCCATGCCCCCGCCCCGCACTTCCACCCGCACTGCATCGCTTTGGATGCCTTTTGAATTTTTAAATAGGCCAACGAGAAGAATGA